TTATATATATTAAATATAATATTATATATAATATCAAATATAATAATAAATATAATTAAAATAATATATTATATAAATATTATTCAACATATTATATATATAAATAACAATATTATTTAATATAAATAATTAATTATTTAATTCCAAAATGTTTTAACCTATTATTAATTCAAAATCCTTATAATTCAAATAAGCCTATTTATTATAATAATATTCGATTTATTAGATTAGATAATAATAATAATTCAATATTTAGATATAAAAATAATTATTATATTATAAAATATTATTCAAATTTTATTTTATAATATTTCAAAATAATAACAACAATTCTTTAAATATTTACATATACATATATTCAATATATTTAAAAATAATGCAATTTATATAGGAATGCAGGAATTATATCATATATATTCTAGGATGTCCTAAAAGATCTAAAAGCCCAAAGAAACACCCCTTACCAGGGTGCCCAAAAAGAACATCCTTTTGTTTAGGATCTGGGCATACAATTAAATGAGGCCGTTCCCACCCTATGCACTCTTTTGCCACAATTACCCTGGTGTTTTGCTGCGCATCATTGCGTGTCTTTGACGTGTCATGTCGCTTGGTAAGGGGTGCCCAAAAAGTGTGCCTTGCCAAGAGAGGCTTCCAAAAAACACCAAGCAGCGTGTCGGATGCTTCTCAGGTAGGGGTAATGTTTGCTATTTCTTGTTGATTTTTGGCAATGTTCGACAGCTTTGGGAATCCGTGAATGGGCCAGGGCGCACAAAAGCAATGGTTTGCAGAGAAAAGAGACGTTTAAGACTATTCTTGGATTGGAAGTGATATATATATATATACATATTATATATATATATACATATTATATATATATATACATATTATATATATACATATATTATATATATACATATGTATATATATATATACATATATATATATGTATATATATAGTGTATATAACATACATCTTGAATCTGGACGCATTTGGTAACATCTTTTTTGGAATCATGTCACCTTCTTTCCTGCCACTGAAAAGATACAACATGAATCGATTGGCCAAGCGAAGACACAAATTCAAACGCTGCTGTGAAGTCCCCGAAAATGCCTTTCAAAGACCCTCTGGTAGTCTCACCAATGGGCCAATGGATACTTTCCATTCCTTGATGATTTCATGATTTCCACATTTTCCAACAAATCGGGATTTCCCATTGCTCTGTTACAGGATATACTAAGTCGTGGCGCCTCGCAGTAGAACAAATGGAAACCTGGCCGATCTTGATGCGTTTTGGGTAACGAAAAGTCATGCTCTGCTATTGAAATGGACCCCCAATGAAACCAACCAGGGGGTCAACGTTCATCTGGCATTAATATCATCCTAGGAATCGTAAGTGATTCATAACCAATGGTTGGAACTCAGGTGCATATGGCAATAGCCAAACCCAGCTGACTGACCGAAGGGTACGGAGTTATATATATATATACGTATATATTATACATAAAAGATCATACGAGCTTGTCTCAAAATAGGGTACTGGAACCCCGCATTCCAGTGGTTTAAACCAACATTTCACCGTCAAACAAACAAATCCTCATGTTGTTGGTGATACCCCATGAATGTCCTATCATATCCACTACAGGTTTAGTCTCTGTATTTTTCTGGACAAACCTCATCTAAGTCATAATCTAACTCGTTTCTATTGATTACATCATCACTTATTCCATTTTAAACTTGCTATCCATTGGGGGTGACATTATATAGCCCAAATCCCCATATTGTTGGTTATATCCCCATCAAATGGTTGGTTCAACCTCCCATAAGCATGGCTGATTAGCCCATAGAGATTGACATCACCCAATAATTGTTGGTCAAACTAGTTGTGTTCTTTGTTGGTTGCCCCGCCACTTCTCTGCAAAATATCCGAAGCGGACCGCTTCCACTCCGAAACGGAGGGCTGCAGGCATTGCGCGGCGTAACGAAAGCCACCTGACAGCTTGGCAGCGAATCCTAGTGGTCGTCATCCCAAATTTTCTGTTGGGATTTCTGATTACACAGTGTACATACATATATATATATATTATAGATACACAACTATATGATGTATATAATTGTATGTATGTATGTATATATATATATATACGCAATGTGTACAGCAATGACATACACATATATATATATATATATACAATTACATGTCTATATCATACAAGTAGAATTATCTATGTGTATAAATAATTCGCTAGGGGGCTGACGTTTGCCCGAAGCAATTTTGGTTGCGGGTTCAAAACCCATAATTACCAGTTGTGAACTGGGAAGAATGATCTTAGACTTGAGAATAAGGGCCCCCTTGGGGGCGAATCATCGTTCGAATCTAATGATATTCCATATGGAACCCCAAAGAATTGATATTTTTATACACATTTATTTACAGCAGGAAACATTCCGAAGCCATGCAAATCATATAAACTAGGACAAATCCATATGAAAACCAACTCCGTCCAAAAACCATCTAAATGCATCTCAAACCCTGGTAGTTACCACCGGAGATCCAAAGCGCCCCGAATCACCTCTTGCAGCTTCGAAGGATTGTTGTCCTCTGGGCCCGGATCGATCACCCATTGGAAAACCGATGAACATCGATGTGGCCACAGGCTTTTGACACGATGATACCATGTGATACCATGTGATACCATGTGATACCATGTGATACCATGTGATACCATATGATACCATATGATACCATATTACCATGGTAATGATATATGGTAAATGCCATGGTAATGATACCATATATCGCTGGGGGATTTCCCGTTGTTTTTCATTTTTTGGTGTCAAAATCCGGCCTTGGAAAGCCATCCCAGGTCACCGCCTTGCCTGGTACCCATGGTTCATGGTGAATCATGGGGGTAATCATGGTTAATCAATAATTGAACATGGTTAACGAGGGTTAATGATGATTAATCATGATTATTATGGTGAAACATAGTATTATGATTATGATATGATGGTTAATGATGGTTAACGATGGTTAATGATGGTGAAACATAGCATTATGATTATGATCATCATATAATCAGAGGAATCATTTTCAAAGGGTGAATTTTAATCATGTGTCGTCATCTTGTTCGAAAGTTATTCTCGCTACTAATCATCATGTGCAATGAGACGTTGTGATACGGGGATATCAACAAATAAACCATTGATTGGTGATCTAATCTAGCGATGGGAAATCCACATCGGCAAATAGATTGCTGTGCCTTCTTTCAAGAACCTGGTATCACCTGGTTCATGGCTTCAACCAATCCCAAAATACTCTCAACCGAGTCGAAATGCGACCAATTTCTTGTTGCAACTTATGTGGCCCACTACACAGTAATCTTCGTAAAGCAATAGTAACTCATAGTAAAACCATCCTGGAATTTAAGATAAATGGATGGTAGGAACCATGAACGTATGGGTGGTTTATTATTGCTTTACTAGCATTGCTGCTGGTCTGTCTTTTTTCATTGGCTTCTATCTATAATATATATATATAAATAATATACATACATGTGTATCCCAGATTCAAGAAAAAACACTGCATCCACGAAACCCTTGATCTTTCAAATTTATTGCCATGGCACCAGGCCAGCATTGAGCCCTGCTGGACTCCTAATGCTCGATCTTGGCACATAAGACATATTACAGGATCGAACCAGTCATTTTCTTTGGTTTGACATCCACACTTCTGTTTGTAAAATCATTTGTATGGGCCTGCTTCCAGATTTTCATCTCTCAAACCTGCATTTCTACAATCATCATTAAAATCTTTATGGCATCTTTATGGCTTCAATCCTCATTTTCCATCGTTTTTATGGCTTAAGTCCACATTTTCATCGTTTTTATGGCTTTCGACCAGGTCTCCCCACCGTGCAGTACCCGTGCACTCCGAGCGTTCCGTGGCCAGCGATGCGAAGCGTCCGCTGTTGGCATTCCGCAGGAAGCCCTGACGATCCGCGGTCCCAGTGACCTCGGCCATGGCAGGCCATAGGAAAACCATAGGAAAACCATAGAAAAATGGTGGTTTTATGGGATTTGATGGGATTTAATGGCATTTACCCTCTGGTGAACCAACATAGCAATGGAAAATGGCCATTGAAATAGTGGATGTTTTCCCATTAATAGCATGGTGATTTTCCATTGCTATGTTAGTTCACCAGAGGGTAGATAATCATAGTAATACCATGGCAATGGGTATTAAATTAATGGGAATAATGGATGGAATAACATACTGTAGCAATATGGGAATATCATAGCAACTATGGGACATGATACCCTCTAAACTGACACTTCACTATTGACATGGCCATAGAAAGTTCGTTGATTTACCTATTAAAATGGTGATTTTCTATAGCTATGTCAGTTTACCAGAGGGTACATATCAAATCACAATGGGAATATCATAAAACCAGCAATGGGGTGCATATAAAAACTGGATTTAACTGTGGTAACAAGCTGCATAAGTTGGGATATGAGCCGGTTTTATCACCCACTTATTAGTGGTTTGTCTGAAAATCAGAATATTATTGTTATTATGGAATTCAAAGGAATATTCATGGATATTAGCTATATATAATCACATATTGATGCATATTTAATGGCTCATATAACCAGCAATATTGGGAATATAATGGGAATATAATGGGAGTATTGAGGGAATAAACGCGAATACATCACCAACAATAAGAAACACATATCCCATCCAATTTTCAACAGTAGTTTGGGTCAGATACATCAATGTTTGCAGTCTTTGAAGATATTTGAAGCATTTTCCAGGAACGACGAAGTTGAAGCGGTAACATCTAACAGGAACAGATCCAATCTATAGAGGTTCCGTCGGCGTCGAGTCCTGAGGTCCCCGGCTGACATTTCGATGTAGATTCTTTTTGCCTCGCGGATCCCGGTGGAAAAACATGTTGGAAACCACCAACGGGGTGTACTGGACGGTTCATGACTGAATGCTACAGCTCAATGGACACAAACCCATATTAGTTGTGACCTTCACACAGTCTTTGCATTGGAGAGATTTTGCACAGCATGGATCAAAAATGATCAAAATATCTCAAAATCTGGAACTCTGCGAAAAAATATAAATTGTCTACCCTGTGGCAATCTGACCAGACAATGGAAAATTCCTTTGCTTAGAGGAAAAAAACATCTAGAATCTTGAAGATTTTGCATTGCTGGGCCAAGGGCACTTCTAGTGGACCGAAACCATCCTGGTTGACATTGCCTTCTCGCTGTTGGTCACCAACACATGGCGTCCACGCACTTGATTGCATGCCTCTCACTGCACTGTCTGAACTCAAACACGCCCGACACGTGTAGAAACGTCAAAGACTTGTGTAAAAACATGCAAAACAAATGAGTTGTGCATGGAAAAAATCCACACGTATCCCAACAACAAGCAGCAGGCAGCTCCCATTCTTGGCTCCTTCTCTTCTCGCGCCGGCTTTGGCATTTCCTGCGAAGAAAATTGGGGCGTTTGTGAAAATCTTTGCTCGCGAACAGTACAACACAGACACAAATGCTTCTGCCGATACAAACCATAACTGACATTCTTCATCACATCTGTGGATTTGTGGTGTGTACCTTTGGATACGTTTGATCAATTACCAACCTTGACTCAAATAAAACGAGTTTGGGGGGCCTCTCTGTCTTTGTTCACACCCCCAAAAAAATCTGGGACATAATAGGGAAATAAATACGGACATCATAGGGAAATTAACAGGAACATAAAAAAAGAAATAAACCGGGAATTAAATAGGACAATACATAGGGAATAAATAGGGAAATAAATAGGAGGGTAAACAGGGAATAAATAGGGACATAAATAGGGAAATAAATAGGAGGATAAACTGGGAATAAATAGGGACATAAATAGGGAAATAAATAGGATGATAAACTGGGAATAAATAGGTACACAAATAGGGAACAAAAAAAATAAATAGGGAACCAAATAGGAGGATAAACTCGGAATACATAGGGACATAAATATGGAAATTAAAAACAAATAAATAGGGACATCAACGGGTCATGAATACATGCATAGATAAACTAGAGGGACATAAATGGGAACATAAATAGGGACATGAATAGAGAAATAAATTGGGACATAAATAGGGAAACACATAGGGAAATTAGATGGATCTACATAGGGAAATAACTAGGGAAACAAATAGAGAATTAAATGGGTACATAAGTAGGGAACTAAGTATGGAAATTAGAGGGAAATGAATAGGGAAATGCAAAAATAAATTATTGGTACATAAATATGTAAATAAATAGGAACTAGAGAAATAAATAGGGAAATTGGAGGTAAATAAATAGGGGAGCCTCTCTGTCTTTGTCCACACCCTTAAAAAATGGACTGGGGCGACTGGGCCTCAATTTCTTTTGGGGAGCTGCGACTTTCAGTGATGCCCTGGACACCTGGTCCCTGTCCTTGTCCCAAATCTTCACACAATCCTCTCCATCACCAGCAAGCATTGCTTCGCCCTTTCCTGTCTCGCATCCCGCACATTTGCTTCAAAGTCAAGAGCAATGTCTTGGGGCACCATTGGACAAACCAACCAGCAAAGCACAGTTATTCGGCACCACAAGGCCTTTAAAACCACAAAAATCAAGCATCTTGTTGGAACGTGCCCTAGATTCTTTGCGTAGTTTTGTCCAAGAATCTAGGGCACCGCACTTAAACCCGTGATATATCTTGATATCCCACCCAGGGCCCGGACGGCGCTCCGCTTCCCAACGCGCTCGGGTGAAGAGTGACAAATCCACGATCCTTGGACTCCAGGCATCGTCAAAACGGGAGGCGACCGTCAATTTTCTCGTTCGATTTGGTGGAATAGTGTGATTGGTTTCGTTTTTGGTTTTCCGCCTTCGTTTCCTGGGCCCCCGTCAAAAATATCCTAAAATGTAATAATCTGTTTAAGGATAGGAAAAGGAAAGGAAAAGACAAGGGAAAGAAACAGGAAAAAAAAAGGAAAAGGACAGGAAAGGGAAAGGAAACAGGAAAGGAAAAGGAGAAGAAAACGAAACAGTAAAAAAAAAACAAGGGAAAAGAAAAGGGAAAAAGGAAAGCAAACAGCAAAGGAAAAGGAAAAGGAACTCAAAGGGAAAAGAAAAGGAAAAGGAACAGGAAAATACAAGGAAGAACGAATGGACACAGGAAAAACAGGAAAAGGAAAAAGGACAGTAAAGAAAAAGGAAGAGAAAAGGAAACAGATAAGGAGGAAAGCCAAAAGGAAAGAAACAAAGGAAAGGAAGACAGGAAAGGAAGGCAGGAAAGGAAGGCAGGAGAGCAAGGCAGGAGAGCAAGGCAGGAAAGGAAGGCGAGAAAGGAAGGCGAGAAAGGAAGGCGGGAAAGGAAGGCGGGAAAGGAAGGCGGGAAAGGAAGGGAAAGGAAGGGAAAGGAAGGGAAAGGAAGGGAAAGGAAGGGAAAGGAAGGGAAAGGAAGGGACAGGAAGGGAAAGGAAGGGAAAGGAAGGGAAACGAAGGAAAAATGAAGGGAAAGGAAGAAAGGAAGGGAAAGGAAGGGAAAGGAAGGGAAAGGAAGGGAAAGGAAGGGAAAGGAAGGGAAAGGAAGGGAAAGGAAGGGAAAGGAAGAGAAAGGAAGAGAAAGGAAGGAAGGGAGGAAAGGGAGGAAAAGGCCGTGGTCTGGTCAGAGTTGTTTTCATGAATTCTGGCTTCGTTTTGGCTTCATTCCGGATCACCGACAGAACCCCCATTTCAACAAAAACTATCACAGAAAAAAAGAGAACAACCAAATTGAAATCAAAAGGCAAAAAGGAAGGATGGCCGTGCAAAGAAAAGCACAAGGAAAGAATGCAAGGATAAAAGGACGAAGCAGAATGTCTTCCAAGAAACAGGCTTCGTGCTTCGTTTTCCGGCTTCGTTTCCCAAATAATATGCAACATATGCTCCGCTATTCCACTTTTAGTTGACATCGCGACGTCGACCTTTTGTCTATGGCTCATATATAACTATATATATATGTACATAAATATGACATTACATGAGGATATCTTAGTGCAGAATATACGTCATTTATGTGGGATTATCAAATACATTTGGAATATCAATGATATAGGATACACCCCCCTATAGTCGTTTGCTGGATGCAATTGATGGGCAAAGGAAAATACTGTCAAACCCCAGCAAAAACTTGACTCTGGCACTGGCTCCGCTTTTTGTCCAGTCACTGTTTGCCGTTCATCTTTGGATTCGCAGCCAATTTTGATCCGCATTTCGCGTTTCGAAGAGATTCCTTCGCTTCATCCTGCCGCACCTGCAGGCCTCACAGTTTTTGACCATCAAATGGCACTGTTGGAATCCCAAAAAAACAGTTGAAAGATCGTGTTCCAAACCCATGGCTTTCCAGGGTTTCATAGGCTTCCAAGGTTCCAAAAAGTCGATGGACATTAGTAAACAGAGACAAGCAGAGAAGGATCCCTCAGGTTCAGACTAGCAAGTTCCTTCGCAGCTGCTATTAAACGATTCGTAGACCTGCCAAGGTGGGGCCAACGAGTTCATGAATCGAAAAAACCGGATTGAATGTATTTTTTGCTTAAAATAAACCTTTAAATCTAAGGGCTACTGGCACCAGAAAGGGAAACCAGTTGTCATTCTTAGCGCAGAATTTCCACACTGGTTTTGCTCGCCCCCAAACTGATTTGAATCTCTGCCCCCAACCTGATTTGAATCTCTGCTTGATCAAGGCCTCTCCAGATCTGCATATTACATACATACATGTATATATATATATATACATACACATATATGCATATATATATATACATACATATTAAAAAACCCAATATATCATTACATATCTATCCGTATATACACACATGTATATCTTGGCTTCTCGCCTCGCCCTAGTGGAGAGGGATATGTCAAGATCCCCTCATCCACTCGCCTGGATGTAGACCATTCTTCAACACCAGCTGCTGCACCTCTGGCAATCGCAACAAATTTAAGCGTCTCTCAAATAATAGACATCTGGACATCCACCATCATCTATATTATACTATATACATATGATATATATATATATATATATGTATAGACCTACTAAGTTCTACCCATATGTATCTACGATCAGTTCTTCCATGTTCTTCCCATATATGAGTACAAATACAACAATATTTAAAACAGCACTCATCCACAATTTCAAGTCGCTTCGCGGCCTTTGTGTGCATTAAACATACAGGCTCTACAAGGTTCCTTATTTCTTGATGAAACTCCCACGAGCCACCTTAAACGGAGTCAATTTGTCGGATGGGTCCATAGAAGGTGGTGTCCCATATTTAGCTAAGTTGGTTTATGGCTCCAATCATTAGGGTATTTATGGGGTTTAAGCAACAAACATAACCATACCTGCCATACCTTTGGGGGGTACCGCCTTGTATGAACCTCGGTGTACAAACCAAGGGCCAGATCGCTGCTCTGGGGCACTGTTCAATGCTGTAGCCGTGTCTGCCAGCACTCGGGTGGTGCTATCCATAGCTTTGAAGCGCTGCAGCTTTGCACCTCCGATGGGGATAGGAGTTCCATGGAGTCTCGCAATGATAGACAAATTGTATACAAGTTGTTCCAAGATCTTATAGGATATTTAAAGATGGTAATATTTGATGATATTTACAGTGATTTCAATTTATGATGTCGACATAGTCTTGTCTAATGCTCTCCAGGTTTCCAGCCTTTCTATCTGTTTTAAGGTTGATACATTTGTATTAGGTCAAACGTAGCTGCCACATAATGGACTCATATCGATCGTTTTTTTCTTTCTGGTATTGAACCATCCATGTTTTGGGGACACATTTTGAACGAAACTGGTGACAGGGGAATCAAAATGTTGAGATGTGAGGAGTTACTTTCTCTTGGGCACTCATTTGCCCTCGACTCAATGGAATCGCAATGTCAATGCGGAAATATGACAATGATCAATGGGATTTTGGAGCAGCAAGGAGTACCCATGAGCACCCCATGTTTGGACAAAACCCAAATCAAACAAACCTGAGATCAGCACGGAAAGTCAACAAGCGGGCACGATGAGCTTCAACCCTCCTGGCAAGGCGACAGCCTCTCTATAGCTGGATTCCCATTTTGTCAAAAAAACACTGTTGGCTTTGACACATCCAAATATTCGGAGTTCAGACTGATCAGACTGACTGTAGCAATGAGAAAACAAAACTCATTAATCCATTCATCGATGGGTTTGTCTGAAAAAAGGCTATCAGTAGCACCAAAATTCCATGGTTGGTATTCATCGTTCCTATTATTTGCTGGCCAACACTTGGGGGGTATACTAACCAAATATTTCCCAGCACACTGCCCTCATGGTGCCCTTCCAAGCATGCCAGTGTTTCTGGGTCCAGGTCTTAACACCTGCAAGGATCATCATCACTTGCTAGATCATTGCCATCCCAAAGATCCTTTTGGTTGAAACCTGTTGAATCCACATGGAGATGCGTCAAACATTCTGTGAAAAATTCCAATATGGATGGGTTTTGTCCAAAAAGTGATACAAAATGGTCGTTATTGGGTGCGTTGGTACCCAATGGACCCTGATGGCCCCATAGCCGCATGATTCTTGATGTGTTTCCATAGGTTTCCAGTGATTTTGACAACGTTTTCTAATGTGGCAACCCCCCTAATATAAACCATAAACAGCAACTGCCAGTAAGGAAACATTTGGGGGGCATAAGCATCATCACATATCATCGCAGTTCCGGGGCATACTCAATAATAAACGCAATAAACGCATACATTTTTTTACCAGTAGTGCCGCACAAGGCGGTGGCGGAAGTTTCAAAAACAGGAAACCTATAGGAGAAGTTGGTTGTTGTGAATCACGGATGGCAGAGCTAATCCACTGATAGACTGAAAGGTGGTTGGAGTTGTGTTTTTTGGAGTGGTTGCAATGGTTGCAGTGGTCACCTCGCCATAACTGCTGGATGTAGTGTGGTGTCGTGCAGTTGTAGCTGTAGTTGTAGTGTAGTGTAGCGGAGTTGTAGTTGTATGTAGTGCAATTAGTGTAGCGTACTTGCAGTTGCAGTTGCAGTTGTAGGTGTGGTGTAATTAGTGTAGTGTAGTGTAGTGTAAAGTAGTGTTGTGTACTCTAGTGTGGTATAATGTAGTGTAGCCTAGCGTAGTGTAGTGTAGTTTTCGTTTTAGTTGAGTGTAGTGTAGTGTAATTAGTATAGTTTAGTGTAATGTAGTGGTAGTTGTAGTTGTATTTGTAGTGTAATGTAATGTAATTAGTGTAGTGTAGTGTTGTGTATATAATGTAGTGTAGTTGCAGTTGTATTTGTAGTTGCGGTGTGCTGCAGTGTAATTAGCGCAGTGTAGTGTAGCGTAAAAAAGTAAAAGTAGTAGTAGTAGTAGTAGTAGTAGTCGTCGTAGTAGTCGTAGTAGTCGTAGTAGTCGTAGTAGTCGTAGTAGTCGTAGTAGTAGTAGCAGTAGTAGTAGTAGCAGCAGCAGCAGTAGTAGTTGTTGTTGTTGTTGTGGTGTAATTAGTGTAGCGTAATTAGATGTAATTAGATGTAATGAGGTGTAAATAGATGTAATTAGATGTATTTAGGTGTAATTATATGTAATCAGTGTAGTGTAGTGTAGTGTAATTTGTGTAGTGTAATGTAGCGTAGTATATTCGTATTTGTAGTCGTAGTAGTGTAGTGTAGTGTCGTGTCGTGTAGTGTAGTGGTAGTGGTAGTCGTAGTCGTAGCCATAGTCGTAGTCGTAGTTGTCTATCTATCTATCTATCTATCTGTCTGTCTGTCTGTCTGTCTGTCTGTCCGCAAGCTTGAAAACGCAGCAATTCTGCGAGACTTCCTCAGTTTTTGAACTTGACAACGCCAAAAACGCAGCAATTCTGCGAGACTTCCTAGTTGACGACATCAAAAACGAAGCAATTGTGCGAGACCTCCTTCAAAAATGGAAAATTGAGAACAAAGGTGACGGCCTTGTACCAATGCGTCTTGCGATTTTTCCATTCCGTCTGTTTAAAGTACTGCGCCCAAAAGTGGTCCGAACATGAGGTGTAGTGTATTGTACGTTTTGACTTGGAAATGTGCTTCACGCCACCGCCGTGTGCACTTTTCTGACATCTCAACTTCCAAAAGTGGTCCGATGTTGGTGTGCTTTGTGCATTTTGACTTGGAAATGTGCTTCGCGCCACAACGGCGTGCAATTTTTCATCTCTCATCTGGCCGGATGGCTTCGCACCCGCCGCTTTAGCGAGCCTACTTTTGAACCCTCCTGTGCCACAAATCATTGGAAAAACGCAGTGTTTCGCGACTTTTCTACCTTTTCGCGCACCTGCATCTTCTTTCCTCTGACTCTTTCTCTTCTCTGATCTTCTTTCTTCTTTTCTCATTTCTCTGACTCTTCCCACCTCTGCTTTTCCACCTGTCCATATTGTCGGAAGTTTGATTTGACTTCTAAACTTCCTTCGATCATTATCCCATAACATTAACGGATTTCCAACTTAATCTTGGGTTTACCTCATGACCGCAACGCGGGAAACCTGCCATCGACTCAGATCCACGATGGGCCTTCGCAAGGTGTAGTCATGACCCTCTACCTGAGACAAAATCTCAGGCTATCCCTAGATCTTCCATGATGTGTGTGGGTCTGCCTCAGACTAGCTGAGCTTGGTACCTCTTCTTTGTATCCTGTGCAGGTTTGGCAGGTACCCGAAACAGCAAAGTAGGGTAGTTGTGGAAAATCTATCCTCTATAGATCATTTGCCAAGGAAACCTATGGTTTTCCATATCGATCTAGAGGGTGTCTCGTTCTCACTCTGGTGAGAACCAAACATGTCCACTTGCATGGCAGCATCTCCTTCTACTGGTTTGTTGACACGGACTCCGACAGTGAATTAGTATGATCCCCACCAAGCCACTTAGTGTGACTCGACCCATCAGCTCAGCAAGTCCCAAACCCCAACGCATGGAAGGCTGCTTGGCATGGCTGAAACTGGACAAAAAATTGCGCTCCTCGGTCTTTTGGCGTTTGGATGTTGGGAGCCCGGCCTCACAATGCTGAAGTGATGAGCGACAAATGATCTCAGGTCCAGGAGTGGTCTGCACAACATCCAGTTTACTGGCAAAGGGTTGACGCCTTATGAAGGCTTCAGGATTTCTGAACCCTCGACTGTATCAGAAACAAGCAATCGCACTGGTATCCAGCTGCTAAATGACGTTAAATCTACTAGTAGATTCCTACATCATTTACATGTATCTGTCGCATGCCAGAGAAGTTCTACAGAGTGAGAGTCTCTTGAGAAACCCATAGAAACCCCACCAGGGTCCCAGGGCCCATTGAAACATCCGTCTCTGAGCCCTTGGCTGGTGGATGGGGACGTGGTGCTGACACCTCTGACACCTCTGACACCTCTGACAGAACTCGGCTGTCAGGCATTGATTTGCGCTGTCATTTGTCTTAAGCCATCCATAATTGGGATGACAAATCAGCTTGTTTTAGTACCAATTGCTGATAGTTGATCGTACGGCTACAGAAAACGGGTCAAGAACCTGGTACCCCTTCATACATTTCATGCCAAACTCTCAGGGATTAATTCATCGGATTTGCGGATGCTCATGCCCCATCAATATTCTTACTGCACCTCCACTGCCTCTGCCCCGCGGCGAGTTGCACGGCTTGCGTCAGCCAAATTGGCCAAGGCCTCCGCCTCTGCAATTGCCACCTGGGCAGATTACAAGGAAAGTCAGCTATTTCAATGGGAAAATCATCGAAATAAATCGGTGCTTTTGCAGGTTTGATTCCCAGTTGTCAGGGGTTAACCATGAAAAACATCATACAAAATAGGTCTGGTATCGGAATATTTATGGAACCCTTCAATTTTTTTGATGGTTTTGAACATTTTCCGATTGCATGGAAAAAATTGGCTATAGCGCATCTTCAGACACACCAACATATATTAAGCAACAATAATCAAAGAATACGAACACAAACTTCATTGGGCATTCAACCATCAATGTATGGGGATTTACAGTAACATGAGCTACCAAACATGATTTAACGACCAAGAGTAAAGGATTAGCAGTGACGCAAAAACCCAGGCATTATTGGTTAGGGATTTTATCGTTGATGATATCATTCCCTGCCAAACAATAGCAAACTGTAGCTAGTTGGGTTAACATCCCCATCAACATGGCAAAACAAAATAAATTGTAGTATCTTGGTTGTTGCTGTTTGTAGGCTGTTTCTAAATCATTCTAGTAACATATCTCTATCATAATGTATCATCGGGATAAAACCAACAACATGTCACTATGGTGAACTCCCTTCTATTTGATGGTGATTTCTATGTCAGTTATCCGACAAGAGTCAACAAATCTCTGTGTTGCTCTCATCCCTAGACATTTTGATTTGATGAACTATGTTGGTTGTTGTATTACATGACCCCTCATCCTGTATGATTGATCCAATTATCAAATATCATCCGGTAAACAACCGTGACAATTCAAAATCTCCTGTGAATGGATGTTTCAATGGATGTTTAGATTCCAAACATAGTGGAATTTCCATTGCCATGTTTGATTGCCGAATGTATATAATCACTTTTCATTTTGTAATATTTTGTAGTGATTGTGGCGATTTGACTTGACAATTTCTGGAACATTCCTATGCCGGGAAAAAGGGAACACAAATGCTGATATCTCTACACCATGTAGTGTATATAGATAGTATATCTACATGAGCACAAACTATAGTCTACATTCAATGCCCATTCAAGTCTAATTTCATCTGAGTATGGCACGCACGTGGGAACTATTTCCATTGTGTAGGGCTATGACTCAAGCAACATTTGGATTTACCCTGAATTACACTGGCGATTTGACGGATTTTAACGGGCAAGAATAGAGGATGGTCCCGCGAAGGTCAAGGGCTTTCTTCGGGGTTTCTTGAAGCCGAAAAATCCGAAAAAATCACCGATTGGGGATAGATTGGGGATGATAATAGATGATATCTTAATTAAATTATAACATATCATACATATATAAACAATTATAAACATACCGTTACGTACCCATACACTTGCAACACAATAAGCATCAAAAACTCTAGCAGTAAATTTCACCGATGCCCAATGTGATGGATCTGGGGACGGCCATGGCCTTATAAGCCTTATAATATTCCCCGATTTCTCTCCCACTATTGCAGCTAAAACCCAATTTTTCTGAAACATATATTATAAGAGTACCCAGTTAGACCATTATATCCCGGATGTTCATAGAAAATCCCAGATATTTCCGGATTATCTACGTTCAACTATACCAGAAGACAACAGCCAAAACCGCTGAAGCTCCCGCTTTGGCTGCTGTTTGCGCTCGAACGGACGCAGCCTGATCGAACAACTGTCTACGCATTTTGGAAGTACGAGGATTTTGAGTCATCTGTGGAAAACAGTTGACATTTGCAGCAGTTGGCTTTCATCCATTTCTGCCAGATTTGGGCTCTAAGTGACAGGCCAAACTATCGGTATTTTCCTACATACCTTGCTTCATTCTTGTAGCACTGGGGAATAGCCAAAAGCATCGGTTAGCAAGCGGAAGTCAAAAAACTTCCGCGTGAAACTGCAAGGTTCCCAAGGGAGGTATGATACTCCCAGGTAGAAGGCAGGGGAAACATGTGCCTGAAACAAATAGTAAATAGTTCCTGTTCTAGCTGATAACACCCAGAACTGAAACCTGTATAGTACTCTCTCATCAGACTCATCCATAAATTAACATCCATTTTTCAGATGATTTCCTCCCAAAAAAATAAAAAAAGTGTTTCTTTTTCATTGCCCAATTTGATGATTAGAGGTATCCACTCACTGAGAGCCAGACAGCGTCTGCAAGAGTGGCCACTGCTGCCTCATGGAGATCGGTTTAGCACCCCATTTTCCCCATGAAAATTGCAATTGGGGGGATATATACCTGGAAATGTGTTTTTTCATGCTTTTTCTATGTTTTTTCTGAGGAAAGAACTTCTAATACTTCTACTGGCAGTCCCAAAAAAAGGCAGATCTGATCACAAAGCGGATGAGCAGCAGCTGGAAAATATGTGCTGAAGATTTCCACCTCCGACTTGATTGTCGTTTGAAAATGCTAGGGAAAAAGGGGTAATTGAGGCTTTACAAATAAATATGAATATATAATATGAATTACTAAAGCCCATTCCTAATTGATTGATGTATACCAAATCTTGGAGAGAAGCCGCCAATCTTGTACAGGAGCCGACAGCAAGAATTTCCATCCGGTTTTTTCAGCTACGCACAGCTTCTGCTGCGGCCAGTGCTGCAGGTGCCAGCCTGTGGAGAGTTCACCAAAACGGATACGGAGGTGTCCAAAAATGGATTGTGTACCCACAGTTTATGGCCATTACAATTAGGTAAGTCATGCAAAAAACATATGTGATTAACATTGAACCATGATTAACCAGTGACCAGTGGATGGGGTACCCAGTTCAGACAAACCCATAGAAGCAACCAAAACCCTGCATGAGCGTAGGGGCTCACTTCCACACAGAAGCTCACTTAAGTGCCGACATTCAACCGTCTAGGGCCTCCCACAGGCACAAGCCAGAGACAAACCGATAGGGAATCAACCAACAGTTTTGGCAATTGGGAATCGCAAATGATCATTCAAAAAAGTCCGTAGATGAAATTTGGAAAATAACCATTAGTGAAGGTCATCCATCTATTCTCTCTTGATTTTTAGGAACCACTTGGAGCCACTGTGAGAATATCCGCTTCTTTCTCTGAATGCTGGGGCTCCAGATGGTTCCCGCCTCTTGCCCGATCGGCTCATTCTTGGCTCATTCTCGGCTTCTTTTAGCCGTCTTTTTGAAGCCAATAGCGCAGCAACGAATGCATAGCCCAGCCCTATCTGAAGCCTCATGTCGTTCTCCCCTCGCATTTGGACGAGCGGCAGGTGCGTGCTTTTTGTTTCTCGTCGATGCAATTTTCCATGTGAAACACGAGCCCAGGGATCTGTGGTGATTTTCTTGCTAATTCATGCTAATTCCACCTGTCTGAACTTGACATTGCTGGTAGGGAACTGCCAATTCTTGTGGGAAAACAAACAAAATCAAACAAGCTCCTCCTTTTTGGATATTGATTTTCCCAACCACTGCTGGTTTACCAGGGATTAAGTCGTGCTATGTCATCCAATTGTCATCCATTGTTGTGGCCCACCACTGGCACTCCGTGTCGGATATGTGTTGCAGAAGGGTTCCGCATACTCAACTGTCACTAGTAGGCTGAACTGACCGTCCCTCGGTAATGCGTGAGATTCGACTACATCAATATCATAAACTAGGAAAGTTCCAGTGCAAGAGAGAATCTGAAGGGCCCAAGTCCAACAAACAATCTGGAAACAACCTCCGGGGTGTTGTTCAGGAATAGACCTCTGGTATGTCAACGGAAAGATTTCCAATCTTTACCACGGCATAAGCTGTTGAATCAATCCGGCGATATCAACTCCTCCAATTTGGAAAGACCACTTCTACGACTTCTACCTTGCAAACATGAAAGGCGCTTTTTAAAGGATTTCTAAGGGATGACTGTGGCTCCTTAACTCGTATTCGAAGACTTTACGGTAACATCCCTGTTCTGCGAATACCGTGCGTATACCGTGCGTATCAAGATGAAACTCTCACCAGATCGCAACTGAGCTCTCAGAGTTCTCACTAATCTTGGCTTTGCCACAAGGAAAGACATTAAACGATGATGCAGTTTCGCTTCAATCCCCTTCGGCCTCCTTAGTCTGGACATGTCTGGTACTGCCCGATTGACAGCACCCTTGCTTTTCAAAGGTGAAAAAAACGCCATTCTAATTCTAATGGTGTTGTTGCCACTCAACTTCGTTCGATTTTTCAACTGAAAAGCAGGTGCCAAAGTTATTTCATGGGCAAAATCATATCCCCAAAAGCCACTGTTTATACACTACGCTCAACCCCTGATATATTGGTGACAAACCGCGACCGCTGAAGTAACTCAACCCAAGTGAAAGAATTTTATGGTTTGTGTTTTCTTCTGAAATAGCAAATGATCCACAGATATCCATGGTATGACACCATATCAAACCCAACAAACCAAGGTCCGAGCGGCACTTGGCTTGGGCGGCTCATGCGCCACGGACATCTGGAATATCCTGCTGTAGCCCGGCAGGCATGGTAAGTCTTGAAATGCACAGCACCACACTGTTCATCAGATAATCATCTCCCACACTCCAATGGTCTTATCCAAAATCAATGAAATGGAATGGACAAGAATCCAATGGTCTGATTTTTACCCTCCAAAATCCAATGGACTTCTTCAATTCAATGGGATATTTACCAACCCTCTCATGCGCGATTCCTCATCAGGATCAAGTCACAGCACTGCCACTGGCCTCAAACAGGTGTAAGCCCTGTCTCTGGTCATCACGTTCTCAAAGTGCACCCTGGCAGCACAAGGGCTTCTGAAATGCTTGGTGTATCTTGGTGTTTACAGTAGAACCGTTTAGAGCTTCAATCCAAGCTTAGGTGCTTGAAGTGGACATTTGATCTTGATCTTGATTAAAACAAAACAACGATCTCCAAATCTTGCCCCCCAATGATCATTCAAACATGTTGGCGCCAAACCCCACGTTCGCCCATACCCAAATAACACCCCAAACAATATCATATACTTGTTGTCACCAGAGGATGAATGAAAACACTGGCTATACGCAGCGATTTTGACTTTAGGTTTTTTGGATTTAGGGTTTTAACTTATTTTAATTCAGGGTTTAGGCTTTTAGGTCTTTAGGGTTTTAGGCTTTGGAAAGTAAAAAACGCTAGCCCGACGCAGGGATTTGAGTATGTCAAAGGATATGCGGGATCTGATGCGGGCAAACGTGGGGTTTGCAGCGAACATGGGTTGTCTGAAAATGCAGAACGCCCACATGCCGTGATTGATCATCACAATGATATTCTTCTTCTTTTTCTTGCTTGTGAAAATGGTCATAAACCATAAACATCCATAAACTACATTAGGTATCCCAAACTTGGAAACAAAACCGTATCATATTGTTGGTCGAGTAGATATCACTTTATCCCCGTTATATCCCCATTAAATCCACTTTATATCCTCGATTTTCTGTGGTTTCCTTTGGAACCGAGATTCTATATGGAATATAATATTCCCGGTATTTCCCAGTAATGTATGGGTAATAAAGCTAAACAATTTCCAAACTGGAATGCATATCTAAGTAGATCATGTTGAATCCCACCATTCTATGCGTAATTATATGTTATTATTACATATTACTATACATATCAATTATTTCTACTATTCCCATCATCATTATCATCATCGTTATTATTATCATTATCATATATTATCATTGTTATGATGTTGCTATTATTCTTGTCGTTATTATTCTATTGTTACGCGCAAACACCCCGATTCGCCCACACCCCTTCTATGCTGTACACTTGGGGATATCAAACGTTAGACTTTACATTCAATTGGGAAGATCAACAAGGGTATTTAGGGAATATAAATTTCCCACCCCCGTTAAACTTTACATTCATTGAAGATCTTCAATAAGGGTTTAATTTTCCCACCCCTGTTAAACTTCTACATTCATTGAAGATCTTCAATAAGGGTTTAATTATCCCACCCCCATTAAACTTCTACATTCATTGAAGATCTTCAATAAGGGTTTAATTCTCCCACCCCGTTAAACTTCTACATTCATTGAAGATCTTCAATAAGGGTTTGATGATGATGATGATGATGATGATGATGATGATGATGATGTGTAATTAAGAGACTCGCACAGGTCCCTATGCTGTGCGTGCCGATATAGAACATGAAGTTAGCCACTATGCAAAAAACTTCCATTTTTACCACGTTTTCAGCACATACGAAGATGGCCGCCGACAAAGGTGTTCGGCCGTATTGTTACTATATGTATGAATTTATATATATATATTTATTCCCCAGATTCAGATTTAGCATCTGTCCCAGGTCCACTGGGACCATCTGCCTGACTTCAGTGCTGCTCGAGACGAGGACCAGGGCCCTGGCAGCTATGTTTGAGTAACCTACCGTCTGAACCTCTTAGAATCCCATCATAAAACCATCATAATACCATCATAAAATGAGGATGTAACCATCAACAATAGTCAACAATGGAGATTCTTTATGGATGTAAAAGTGGAGTTTAACCAACAAAAATGCTGGGTTTACCGTCTATACTATGACTCTAATGATATGACTCTAATGCAACCATGGCAAGGGTCACGGCTCTCCCAGTGAAACACGATCTGTTGAAAATAGACCTGGGGGGAAGATTCGTCCTACCTCGAAAAGCTTCAGGGCTTTTTCATGGAAGAACATGAATGAGAATAGGGCACGCCAACGATTGGAATTCATGAACCCAAATACAAGCTTGAAAACTGTGATCTGGTTTAACGTGATCCAACCGTATATTCGAACCATTGCACACTGTCGCCAAAATTATAGGCTTGGGTGATCACTATTCCTTTGAAGTATTCCGACTTTGTCGGCGCGACATCCCCTTCTTGCGCTGGCTTGGCATACCCACTATCGTTGGTAACATAATAATATAACCATTGTATAACCATTGTATAACCATTGTATAACCATTGTATAACCATTGTATAATAGCCATTGTATAGCCATTGTTGGCAATGTATCCTCGAAGATTGTGCGCTACGTTCCCACAATTCCCAAGCAAAAAAAAACCAAATCGCTCGAGGTTATGGCAGATTCCAGGGCAACATCGCACCGTCTGGATTCGAAAAATGCTCGGGGTTGATACCCCAAATATCCCAAAATCACCTTTTAAAATCATAACATGTGACATCCTACCGTATATACATATAAAATACATATAAAATATTATAAAATCATATGAAGCATGATAGATTCTATACTTAACGCCCAACATTTTCTCATGATTCCCATCCCAGCCATCATTTACGGTGAGGTCGGCCAGGGTATATGTCATCTCCAGGGTCCTCATCATGTCTTCCTCCGTATCGACCTTTGTGATTGACTCCACCTGCCAGTAGTTTTGATTCTGCCAAAATGACCCAAAATGGCCATCAGGCCATCAGGACGTAGTCCCAGATCGGAAAACCATGCACCACCAATAAGTCAGCATGAACATGATGGAAAAGAATGGACAAAATGCGCCTCGAACGGGAAGATAGGAAGATGGGAGATACTGGGAGATGATGGAAGTACATCTAAGACAGCATCTTGACCCATGGCACCAGACAGTTTTCATCGACTGCAGGGCAACCTGGGGGGAACCAGCAGCAAGGGCCTCTGCCAGTGGCATGATGATCGTCGCTGCACCTGCATTGGCGGAAAGAAACACCGCATCTCAGGCTACGATTGACCTACTTACCGAAAGAATATGCACATAATCTACCTCAATGCACTGAATATATCCATTTTGTTTATTTTTATTAGTTATATACTTCCTGTAGGCCATTGGTAAAGTGAAGTCGCCCCCAAAACCGGATCAACTCCTCGCCTTCCCTCAAGTTTTAGGTTTGCACCCAAAAAAAAAACATGTTGTCATGATGGCACCTGGGCCTTGCCAGAACTCCACCTGACATGGAGGATCGAAGGAGAAAAAAAACATCAGTGGCTAGACAATGTCAGGTCTTAAGATCAAGGCATGGTTCGGAGCGGTATGGCTCAACCAAATTTACCGGGTTAAATTGGGTGGAGCTCAATGATATTTATATAATGATATTTCATGATATTTAATGAACAGGATCACGAATTTGGTGAAGTGATACAGGCCGAACTTGGCCTGACGCAGTCTCCGATCAAGACGCAAGGTCACCTGCTGAAATGTCGCTCGACATGCAATCAGATTGGCATCCACATCATCCACAAAAAAAACACATTGTACTGGTGGGTTAATAGGTATCCCATAGGTATCCCTATTATGGGTTGTAATTATCCCAAACTAACCAGGTGACCCACATTAACCAAACCATCAACAAGGGCTTTTGAAACTGCCACGGGGATTCTCCCAGCAGTGATGAACCAGTGGTTATTGACACTTCCTCTGGGCGCGTTGCAAAGTGTTTTGTTTTTCAATGTGCCCCAACAAATCTTCTGACATGTAAAAACCATCAAGACTTATTTAAATATTAACCTATTTTGGTCTCACATCATCTCACATCACTATCCAGTCAGCTTGGCTTCCCCTCCTGAAGCTCTTCTTCGGCTTCACGCTGAATCACCTTGCTACGGCGTGCAAAGCAAAGTCAAAAGCTGGCTATTTCGTGGTATTTCCAGAAATAAGACGAATGCAATTTCATTGGGACAGCTGTTGATCATTTTCATCCACTCAATTCTTGTCTGGACCCCACATTCACAATCAAAAGATTCACAATCCTAATTGCATCCCCGACACAATTGACAATGACACCGATGCCATACTCCAGTCAGGTGGTTTTTCATCATTGTGTCGTTGAAGTTTTCAGTTTGAGATATACCCCTTTTGGACAAACCTGCACATGTTTTTTTTCATATGGTTAGTTACATCCCGTTGATATCCATTACTTATGACCCATCATAGCACTGTTACGGTTGGTTTAATCTTCATATTTCCGGACCAACCCAGTTCTAAGTCACACATATCATCAATATCCCTCATTTTGTTGGTCTATATCAGCTAGATCAGCAATATCATGCAATATCCACATTCATATGGCAACACATGGCGATTTTTTCTCATTTTTTGGCCAGTCACCTGCACCGGAATGCCATCGGCCACCACTTCTTGCGCAAAGTCCCGAATCAGGCGCTGAGGCCATCGGAGCGATAAATTTCGGGTCTCCAGTGGATTGGAGGCACTTTTCCCCAGAAAAAACAGGGGTTCCGGTCTCCGATTTCAATCTTAAACCAATCCAATGAATATTCTGATCATCTAATTGATATATATATATATATGTATTATGTAATCATATGTATATATATATATAATTATATATATATATAATTATATATATATAATTATATATATAATTATATATATACATAATTATATATATAATTATATATATATATCCTCAATATATTCCTTGGGGCGAGAAAATCGGATATCATGCAATATAGTTGAGGATATTTTCTGGTGGTACTTAAATGGAGGTATACTGTAATGGGATACATTGGACTAATTGTAATAGGATATTGATGGATATTGTTGTTCACCATGGGATAGAACTGATTATGTCACCAACAACTTGTGGGATATTATGAACAGTATAATATATCTTAGTACTATGAGAATGCATTGAGTTTAACTTAGGCACATCTTGATTTTTGGACCCCCATTGACCTTCACTGATACCCAAGTTGGACCATCTATATGTGACCTGGCTGAGAACACAATTTTTGATGGGAACACAATTGCCTAGGACAATCATCTATAAATGGGGATAGTAAAACAGTCCCTGTGGTTCAAGTATAAAACATCCCCACTTCAACAAACACTCAATCCTTTCCCACTTGGTTTGAACACCTTTTTTTGCTTGGAGGTCCCGTTGGAGTATGATGAGGGCGACCCGGAGCCACTTCTGATAAAAATTCATCGAGGATCATCATCCCGCTGAGGAAAAACATGAGCCACGTTTACGAAGCAAATCAGCTAGCTGATCCTTCAAAAACTTGTTGAACTATGTTGAAAATTGTTGAAATGTAATGAAATGTAGAATCTTCCACGAACTCTTACAGCAGTTCCCTAATTCACATCTGGCGCCCGGTGAGCATAGCCTGCAGTCTTTGTTTGGCCATCTCTTTGTCATCCTGCTGCAGTGCGACCCGCCATCAGAATTCTCTGGTTGGTTGAGTTGGTTGTTGACTATTCCCATACGCAAACCAAAAAACACAACTCTGGAAGCATGAACAGCGAATAACGGGGCCATCATGTCATCGTCAGAGTATAGTTGGCCAGCTGGTGAAATGACAATCCACCTTCTGGCGAGAGATCCGCTGCCGTCTTTTGATCTCGCTTTACTTAAAGCCAACTTCAATCCACAAGCACATTGTACCGAATCTCATCACCCCAAGAATAGATACCTACAGAAAAGGGCCCCAGAATTATTAGATCCCAGTATTAGACCAGGGTTTCTAGTGCATTCAATCGTATTGGGGCAAAAATAGCTTCACGATGCTCGCCTCACCAGCGGAGAAAGGATGGCACGGAGCCACTGTCCTGTCACAATGTCCGCCCAGAGCCGGTCATCCTTTCTAATCAAACCACTTGGCACCAGAGATTTTTCACGGCCACCAGAGATTTTGGGAATAGCAAGCACTTCTGGGCAGGGTGACATGTTTTGGGAAGTGTCAAGCTCACTTCTTGTGATTCTTCGCCAATTTGATGTGCATCCAAACTCATCCAATTGGTAAGTGGTGAATATTCCTGGCTAGAATCTATAGCTATCATACGTATCACCTATGGCACATGTTGATAACGTTTGGACGGGGTATCGTCAACTCATGCCACCGGCCACTCGAAGCTTCGCTCTTTGTCGCCCTGCACAAGGCAATGGATTTGACACCCCCAGTTTCAACCATTCCAGTGCTTGTCCCAAAATTGAGAACCCACACAAAATCATTGAAACCCTCAGTTTTAGCTTCACCACACATTTATATCATGGATATATCATGGTTTTCAAGCCTCATTTCCCCATCAGTGGCCACAAGCTATCGAGACAAACGAAGTTCAGCGAGTCGACGCCTTCTGGACAACCTCGCCGGTGCTTTCCTCGTTTCCAGGACAGAACCGGGATGGCCTGGCCGTGGGGAAACCCTGGTGACATTGGATATCCATGGATATCCGGCGATCCTGATGTCAAAAAACCTTTGGTGGGTGGATTCGGTTACTCCAATTGTCGGAACATGAAATAACCTTCATGTACGACAATATCCACAATATCCATTCTCAGGACATGTTTTGTTGGCAGAGAACTTACACTTTCAGGACATAACACTTCTGAAGTCCCCTAAAAGAATCCATGCCAGCGATTCCCATCAGTGCACGAACAGCAGGCAAACATCGCCACCTACCTGGATACATCAGATGGGATACAGCCAACTATATCTAGATTATTCGAGATGAATGATTGTCCAGTTTCTAGTTGTCAGCTTGGATGCACATCCACGCACCCAAACAGTTGGCATATTGATGCATATTGGCATGTTGATGATCATTGATGCATCTTGCTGCGATTTGGACGACACACAATCTTCAGAAGCCAAACATCTGGCAGCGGCCAAGATACACTGCGAGCCCAGTGGTGCGCGTAGCAGCACACTTCATCGCTTTCTCCGTTGTCGACACTTCATGGCTGCAGATGCTGTCATCATGAAAACCATGAACAAAACTTGATAAAACATGATAAAACCGTGAATCTTCTACAATTTTCGGCCCAAAACTGAAGCTCCTTCTACCAATCCATGAGCATTCATCCTAATCAAGCTACTACCAGGCCAGAAAGTTTTCTGGCACCTTGGCATGATGAGTTGGAAAATGATTTGAACATAAAAGGCTCCCGCATCAGCTGAAGCGCCCATTTTCTCTGATTTCCCGTGCGTTTGGAGAAACTCCATGGTGGCATTCACAAAGAGCCGCTGCCAGCGGACCTGGAGAAACCATGAGAAACGATTTTGATGGGGATTTTCATGGGGAATTCAACGGGAATCGTAGGTGGGTATTTCTCTTGATGATTTTTTGTTGAATTAAACTTGTAAAAAGAAACTATTTGCATCTGCATCCACGTCAATATCTATGTCTATGTTACTACATAGAGTAATATTATGTAATATTTAATCACAATGAATCAACGTAAATCTATCCAAATATTGCTGATTCAAGATTTTTTAAATCTATTTAAATCTATATTTAATCTGCCATAAGGTTGCCCAGGGTATATGTATATCAGTTATCTATCCACAGCTGGGTTTTGTTGCTGAGCATCCCACATCAGCAAACTCCTTGGCCAATTCCTCCGCATCGCACAGGACCAGGCTGTTGGCATCCCTCACCTTGGGCGTCCGGAAATCTTCATCCCCCTGGAGGTAAGAAGAATAATATTTAGATATATTTAGCAATCATAACGATAGTAAGAATAATTGTAATTCTACTTAGTAACTAATAACAATAGTAGTACTTGGAGGATAATCCCACTTGATTTATAGGTAGTACATGTGCTTAGTTTCCCCAGTTATACAGTAAATGGGATAACGTACTGAATGAGGACTTACTGTAGTGACCTGAGCTATTAAGCAGTTACTAAGTGGGATTATCCTCTACGTCTCTACGTAGCAATGTAACAGTAGGTGTATCGATTATCACTAATGATATCTATTATCTAAGCTAATAAACTACACATACCACAACACATCTGTTTTTAGGGGAATAATCCATAAACCTAAAGTGGAATTATTGAACCAACAGACCTAATTACCAGTTGCACATGGTCAATTTGTCTTCGATCGATTTGGCTCCAAGATGATACAGGGTGAATCAAGGAGGTTTTGGCCTCGAATCATTCAAGCTCCAGATGACTCATGTGGGCTTCAACGGGAATTTCCGCCCTGGGATCGTTGTCATTCCCAGCATGTTCCCTTGATCTGACACCCATCTGGGTAAATTGTTGCAAATTGCGTCAAATTACCATAATTCCATATAATTCCCACACCTGAGTAAGCCATTTTTGGCAAAAACCATTTCAAATCGCATCATCTATGGGGTAATGTCCTTCCTCCATCGGAGCCATCCCTGAGCCCTCTGCATACAGGAAAGGACAACTTTTATGCATTGTTCCCCAGTGATGTTCTCTTCGCGCTCGCACCACGCAATCCCAGAGGTGTTTCAACGACTTCCACGCCGGCAGTTGTCCCTTCAGAAGTCGTTCCATTTCGCTCAAACCATTCATGGCTACACAGGTGGCACGACCCAAGACGAAGGGACCCATTTCGAAGGGTCCAGAGGCAACTTTGATCGCTTGTAATGGGCATCCACCAGGATGATCATCATCTCCATCTGCATCAACTTCGACTCCTTCGGCTCGTTCGACTCGTTCAACTCCTGTCTGTTGGGAGATCGCATCGTTCCAAATGGAAGCGATTTGACGGAAGTCATCCATGAGACTTTGAACTTTGGATTGAAAGTCCTCGGATAATTTGAAGAGAGCGGGCATTTTCAAAACGACGATTGACACTTGGCTGGCAGGATAATGGACAGGAGTCGCGGTGGCTTGCTCTTTGGCTTTCTCTCCAGACTTCTGCTTCTCACCAGAAAGATCCAACGAGGGCACTGCAACAACATCCGCAAAAATGTCACTGGTTTTCCAAGAATTCAAAGAAGAATCCTGGTTGGTGGATTCAACCGATCCTCCAAAAAATATTCGGTCAAGTCAATTCAAATCATCATCCCATTCACTTGTAGGAATGGACAATTTAAAGGACACACTTGAAACCAACGATCATAATCCCATTTGGGAATGGACTCTCGGAATGGACAATAAAACATCTTTGAAACTCACCCAGGATCAATGGTTTCTCCCAACTCTTCCGAAGCATTTCCAGCACTGGACAGCACTCTGAGTAGCTGCTCAAAGCGCTGCACCTCTTTCAGCTTCATCTCGTCCAAGACATGGCGAATCCAGCCCCGGCGACTCCATTTGGGGGTGGAGTCCTGCGCGTTGCCCCACCCAGCATCCGCCCAACCTTTTTGGTCTCACGGTGGGCCTAGGGGGAAAAACAAGGGGTACCTCATCATTTGGGCATTTGTTTTTTAGGAACAATATGGAACAATTATCACATTCATCATGTTTTTCATAATTTGGACCCATAAGTTGAGCTTGAACTTCGCCCAAACTTGGTGGCAACTATGGTGGCAACACCTTCATCTGCCTCCAAAAAGATCCAAAACCATCGAACTGTGGCAGTTTTTGTTGGAAAGGGCCGGGTTCCCGTGGTCATCAAGTCCTGCATGTAACAAACGTGAGCCAAATCTGCAAATGCGATCAGCTCGCCCTTCCTCACCTTCAAGAGAGGTCGGAGAACTGTCACATTTAAGGTAATTCCAGTAGCCAACATTCCATTGATATGAACAATATTGCCTTTTCCCAACTCTGCTAAACGGTTCTCATCTGCATCATCTTCATGGTGGGCCACCAAAGCAGCCCCCTTCGAAACACCCAGCCGTTGGAGACAAAGTTCATACATCCGAAAACGGATCTGCTTGGACTTCTCCTCATACCTCTCCCGCGAGATCCCCGTGCGGATGCTGCCGTGCGGCCTTCGAATCTGTGGCCGATAAGAAAACAGATCCACCCCCAATTGGCTGCAGGACCATTGCACCCAACCTTCTTCGTCTCGTGCATCGTCACGGTTGGGGTGGCACAAATGCATGGCACACCAGCGAAAACGCTGGTGCGAGGGTAAAGTCTGTTCCAAAAGCCACAAAAGGCAACAGGTGACCATGCTGTCAACGCCACCTGATAGGCTCAGAACTATTCCAACATCTTGATGAAGGTAGCCTAAATGCTTCAATTGATTCCGAAGCTCATCCACCAGAAAATGTCCCTGAAATCTTGAAACGTCCGCTGTCAAGGGACTCAAAAAGGAAACTTCACTGTCTGCCTGGTGGACAGCCGATGCATATCTTTGGCATCTTGCGTCCAATACAGACACCCGGGGCGAACAATCAGGTTTGCCAGACAACTGTACTGGCCTGTCACTGGATAGCGCTTTTTCCAAATATGCTTCTACAACAATGGACTGAATTGCATCTTGAGTCTCTTCCAAGAATCGAGAGCACAAATCCTTGTGACCCTGCACGCCAGTTGAAGCCTCGGATGGGCCGGATGGGCCTCTGGACAGCTCCTGCAAAATCACCAGTAGCATGGCTTCAGACAGCTTCAAAGAGAACGGTTCACGAGCATGTCGAAGCACCAGAGATAAGAAACAGAGCTCTGGCACGGAAGCCAAGTTCAACAAACTGCAGTTGCTTACTTTCTTGCCTTTCTTTCCAAAGTCAAGATCCACTAGCACCGACATCGCCAAGCGCAAAGCAACCGAATCGCAAAGAACCTTGAACTGGTTGGCCTCCACAAGAGCCTGCCCCCGCTGCATGGACAGGTGATTTCGACAGGTCTGATCCAAGAAAATGGCTGCCCTCATTCGCAACGGCGCTGTTGCACGTGGTTCCACGTTCCAAGTGGCGACTCCCAGCCCCAAACTGCTGGAAGCCAAAGACCTTGCGGCTTGCAAACAGTCCGCTTCGAGCTTCTCGAAGAAAGGTTTATAGCTGGCTTTCCGCGCGCCAAACCAAAACCCTGGAACTGCAAGGCCTTGTTTTGCAGCATCTGGAAACCAGGTCTTGTAGAAAATTTCTAAGCCACAGAGCCAATCGCCATTCATCTGGCCAACAGATCTAAGTCATGTAGACTGGCATATCTATGGATATTGAATATGTTCAATGATTGAATGCATGATATTGGTCCATGGAGTCACATACAAGTGGTGCTTGCGGTGATACCATCATCAGCATCATCAGCATCATTTTGCATAGTCTTCATAAACAAGGAAGGCTTCGGAGATTCTTGCTAAATATAGAATGATGACGGATCCCGTACCACTACCAGCAGGCCATAATTAATTAATTTCATCCAGCAGTTGTCTTGCTTTCCAGCGGCAATTAAATGATCAACGGCTTGAGTATGAACGTCATACAATGAAGATCGTGCATCCCTCTGGCATCGTGGAATCATGGCCCTGCGAAGGCAGAAATTGCAACAAGTTGGACCATTCCCAGACATCCCCGAAACAGATTGCAAACATGTTCTCCCCAAGTGAAAATGATGCAATCTGATCATGGCGTCGACTTTGATCTCAAAGGGTTGGAGGATCCCCCAAAAACCATTTAGATGAATAGACCCCTCTAAATTCATCTAAATTCACCAATCAACGGAGGTCTATTGATGTCTATTGCAGCAACTTTTCTGACTTTCTGCGGAGCTGTGCACTTTTTGCCTCAGGAACTAGGACATATCTGAGCACATTGGTCACCGTGGGCTCCAAGTGTTTGCCTCACGGCGTGGCATCTGAGAAACTTGGGATGGGTTCGGGAACCACGGACTTTGTATGTCTCTGGATCAAAATCAGTAGTGTGTATATATATATATATGTATATAGCTATGTATATGTATATATATATATATGTATGTATATAGCTATATATATATATAACTATATATATATTGTATTATACATGTATATATATATATATATTATAATATTATATATATTATATATATTATATATTATATATATTATATATATTATATATATTATATATATATTATATATATATTATATTATATATATATTGTAATTATGTATATATATATATATAGAAATAACTATATATAAATATATGTACACACACACACACGTTTCTTGTGCACATGTACTATACCTTAATGCTTTCTATATAACTTACTTGTGTTTTGTGTGTTTGAATTCCAGTCGCGTTGGTCGTTTTGTCCCCGGCCACCATGGCACCTCCATCCTCCTTTGGGCAAATGGCTTTCATGGGAGATGGCAACTCTGCCAGTAACCTGACATGGTGGGGCCGTGCGACAGTGCCATCCATGGAAAATTGAGTATGTGCCAAGCCGTGTTGAATTTGTGGCTTTGACCTCTGAAGCTGCTCATCTGGAGCTTGCTGAAGCGACCTCGTCCAATGCTTGGTTCAATGATTGGAACATGTTGGAAAATGGATCGATAGAACCCAGAAGAACCGGGAAATACATGGAACATCATGGAAATACCTCAAAATAACATAAATCATTTGTATAAAAACCTTATGATGCACCCGTGTTTCCAAGAGTTGTGGGCCTATAAAATCTATGATGTCGTGTCACCGAATACCGGACCTCTAGCCATCCATTTTGTCGCGCAGCTGGGTGCTCCCAGCAGTATAGCAGCGATGAGAAGTCGGACTCGCCACTCCATGGACGGGTGATGTGGCAATGCGAGCACTGCACACAGCATCTTGCAGAGACCTTGGATCGAGGATCGCCTCGCCCTTGCAGAGAAATTCCCGGTCGGCATGGCGGCACCAAGTTTGTCGTGGCTAGCGGCTATGAGTCCCAAAAGCATTGGATGCTCCGCTCCAGTAGTTTTCACCAGGAAATCCGTGGGCGAACTGAGATTGCAACTTTCTTTGGTCTCACTGCAGGTGAAAACCTCTGTGTCATTGGCCAAAGTCGAAGCCCAACGCACAAAGTGCTGGAAAGGTCTCTAGATGTAAAAGCATAGAGTGGCATTGAAAGCATCGTGCGCTTCAATGGCATACGCAATTTTCTGTGCTGCCATATATATCACAACCAGCTGGCTTCAGGAGAAACAGATCAGCAAATTCCAGCAAATTCCAACACGATGCTAAACCTGACCAGATTTGTGGACCCTTTCCCCTTTCCCATATCTGTTTTAGATCTGTTTTAGCCATGTGTGAAAACGGGGGAACACCTGATTTGATAGACAAGGATTTCCAAGGTTCCAAATTTTACTTAGACAACTCCAGAGGGCCTTCTTGGCTTTCGCCCGCAGGATTTGCCACATGGCCGACACAGCCTCAACGATGACTGGCTTGGGTCGAACTATAAAAGGTACAGTGTATGATTAGACCGTAACTATATCATAATTACTATGACAAATATTATACCAATACACCCAACCTAAAGGTACATGAAGTCATGTGCACATCCTTGTCAACGTAGCCCGGCTTTCACTCAAAGTCTTGGCACATGGAGGAGCCATTTATCTTCTGGCATTTCCCGCTATTCCCAGCCGATATACCTGTACATTTACACGGTTCTTCTTTTCAAGGTATAGGCACCCCATTTACAAAACCAACCAATCAATAGGAAAAAAACGACATCTCCGTCGACATTTCCCACCATTTCCCACCTCCTGTTGTGTTTCTAAACTCCAGCAAGTCTTCACATCGCCTTCTACCTCAGCATCGAAGAATATGGATAATATGGTGGGTACTCATCCTGAAAGCGATTTCTTTCTCAATCCATTCCCACGAATGACCCAACTTCAAACAGGTTCATACCGGAACTTTATACCCTTAAATGTTTGTTTGGTTGGGAAACTGAAGAAAGACGGTCTGAGTCTCACTTTCAAACCTTGAGAAAAGTGCCAAGGTGTGCTGCACCACGTCCACCACCATGTTGTAAAGCAATGTGCTGGATGGAGTAGCCTTGCCCAAACTCAATACTAATGGCTTTCTGGTGGGTTATTAGTCTGCTGTGGAATTGAGGTATATACTTGAGTCGACCGACAATATGTAAACCCTATGCTAACCCCCTTTTCTGGTGTATTGTTCAAAATATGCACCATTCCCCAGATGGTTTGTTGATGATGGGCTTTGTACAAGTTAGCAGCTTCGGAACTATCACAATCAATCCATGAACTGGAATTGACCCTGACAAGGCATCATTATTTGGGGAGTTTCTGACAGGTTTCCAATTGCTGGTTATATGATGTTATATGTATATAATATACACACGTTACATAGCTCTACATGCTTTTATGATTTTTATGACATCCAACCGTGATTTTCCCTTCCTTCAGATGTCTTTTTGAAGATTTTCCGACATAGTTTTCACGCAAACGACTCAACTCACGCCTGCAGAAGCACCACCAGCTCCCCCAGCAAATCTTTTAACGACGAGCTGCTAGACGCAACCTGCAACAGGGGAACATGCCCGGGGGTGGTAGCCGATGCCATGGCTGTGACAATGGAGGCTGCCTCCAAAAAGGTTACGAAATCGCATTCAAATAGAGACAATTATTACATACCTTTCTTTTTTTTGGCCCAATAATTTTCAACCAAAGCCGACGTCTGGCGCTTGAATTTCAACTTCTCCAATTTTTGGCCAATGGGTTTTCGCTTTGGCGATTGCGCCTTCACAAGTGCTTGCGCCGAAAGCTTTCGGCTTTGCGAGACCTTGATGGTAAACCAACCATGACTGGGGGATGGTTTATTCTTGGATTTACCTCGTTGTTATCTTTACGAAGATAATGATGAATCATCGCGCTTCGTGACTGGATAGTGCCAGATTCAAGTACTAGAGTCATTTACAGCTTGGCCAACCACGCTAAACGTTATCTAAACTTAGCTCTCAAATCAAACACATAAGAAACAACAACCTATGTAGAAAAAGATTCTCGGATGGGAGATGACCAGAGCATACCATTGTGCAAAACCACTTTGGGGTTCCATGTCACTTCAGTGGATCTCAGCGGGCCTACTGATGCCCACTGGGCTCAGTACTTCATCCAGCTTCATCAAGCGACCGCAGAGTGACGTCAGCTTCAGAGCTGAGTCCAACCTAATCGCGGCTCATTCCGAACGTAGCGAACCATCTTGGGGCACGCTGAGAAAATTGATCCATAGCCGGCATTGCCATATTAATGAGATATTTGATGTATACCCATATCATATCTAAAGAAGTCAGAACAAATTGACTGCGATTGAAAAAACGGAGCAAGACCATGGCCAGAAGAAGCCAAGTAAAATTAAGAGTAGACGAGTAATGGTATCAACATCCCGCCAAAGGCTTCCAGAAGGCTTCCAGCAGCACGGTTTTCTACTATGTGCCTTCACTCTGCGATAGCTTCCAGCACGAAATCAAAATCATAACCCGTCATTCGTCTTGACGGACTACGTGACTACGTTTCAGCGTTGATATCTCTGGCTGGTTTCAAATCTCCATGATCTTCTTCTCAGGTTGGAGATGAAGAAAAAATGAATACAACTGAATATCTGTGTAAAGAAATATGAGATAAGTAGTAGATAAGTGATCAATCATGATCCAACATGATCTAAGTTTCTATGACACAGTACATATGATCAAACATTTGATTCACAAACTTGTATTGTGGTTCATAATGGTTCCATACCAACAATTTCATCCAAAGTTATACAAAAATATATGAGAAACCACCAGTCTTTGCCTTTCGCCTTTTGGCTCGGCCCTGCCACCTTTGGCTGCGCGAGGCTGGCCGTGCCTCACTTCCTCTTCTCCAGGGCTGGCAACTTGGTGGCCATGACCATATCCACCTGAGACGGGGATATGTTGAGGGAACTTTTTGGAGGCCAACGGATGCTTGAAAAGATGGGGTTATATAATATATATATAATTATATATATATATATATTATATTATATTATATTATAATATATATTATATTATATTATAATATATTATATATATAATATATATTATATATATATGTATTATATATATATATGATTCTCCATTCTTGTCGGGGTTTGAACACCATAGCTGAAATCCCCTATGGTCCCCATGTTTTCGGTCAAATTGTTGCCAGCTTGAACTCAGGGCAACCACAAAAACAATTAGGATTCCATCAAACAAAAATAAACCCAAGAAATCAATGTGTTAACTTTGGTAAATAAGGTGGCGGGTTCTATTTAAGGCTTGTCCCCAGAAATAAGGTGCATGCAGTATGCAAAATGCATCAAATCAAATGCGCGGGGATCCTTGGCTTAAAAAATGGCTGCGCAACTAATTTCGAGACACGGCCCCGATTTCGTCTTATTATTTTCATTTTTTTAGACCAATCTTTCGATGTATTTTTTACTTTATATTTTTTGCAGACAGAAACGCTGCTGGCTGCTCAAAAATTTCTTTCTCTATGAATCTTTAAAAAAGGCCCACCGCAACCACTTTTGAGTGGTTGGATCGTCGCCAAGAAAACATGGATTCCATCAATCTGCGAGCCATAAAAAAAATAGACACTACACATGTTTTTTTTTTTTTTATGTTGTTTTATTATGTTTCATTCATATATCTATTATATTTCTAATCTTTTATTCACATATTTTTTAATCATATCTTTTTGTTCTTTGTTTATTGTTTTATTTTTATTACTTTTGTTTAAAATATTTAGTTGTTTTGTGTTTATTTTTGTTTTTCTTAGTGCCCGCGGAATTTCCTTAACTTCAAGGGCTAGCCTTGAATTTAAGGAATTTAGTTTTTTTTTCCACGATTATTTTTGAAGAACAGTTTGAAATTCAATGATTTTTTTTTTCGAATAATCCTAATGGGTTTTAATTTTTTCCACGAGGTTTTTCGAAAAAAAAAAAGAAACATTGAATTTCAGTCTGATTTTTTCAAAAATAACTGTGGAAAAAAAATCGAAATTAATCAAATTCAAGGCCAGCCCTTGATTTTTTTAAGGAATTTCCGCGGAAACAAGGAAACAAAATAAATAAATAAACAAATAAATAGATAGATAGATAAAATAAATAAATAAATAAATAAATACATAAATGAATAAATAAATAAATAAATAATATGTGTGTATATATATAATGATAACATATTTAAACACAAAAAACATATAGAACATAAAATAGAATAACAGTATATAATTATGATAAAACGACTGCAATTAAAATTCAAAAAAATAAAAGATCGAAAACATGCTGTGAATAAAATTAGAAAGACATAATTGTATAATCATTTTTTCAAGACATAAAACATATCGTTTTTTGAAAAAAAAAGAATTGCAGCAAAATTAAAAAATGAAAACGTTGAAACAAATGAATAAATGAAATATCTTTAAAGACCCAATACATATTCGTAGTGTCTATTTTTTTGATTGCTTTCAAATTGGTGGAAACAATGCTTTTTGAGCGACAATCCAAATGCTCAAAAGTGGCGACTGCAGCGGGCCTTTTTAAAGATTCATAGAAAGTATTTTTCTTGAGCAGGCGGCAAGGCTTCTGTCTGCAAATAAAAAATGTAGAAATAAATTTAAACACCATTCAATTAAAAAATGAAAGACCAATAAACATAAGTAACATGAACATGATTCAGCAAAATGTTCAAACAAAAGCGAACAGAATTGAAGAATTTAAGAATTGAAGAATGTAGATTATTTCTCGAATGGCTGCTTGCCAGCAGCTGACCATGGTCATGCCCAACACCAACAGCTGCTGCTGTGGAGCAAGTCCAGTGAGCTGTCGTAAGATGTTGTAAGTGTTTGTTTTGGATGATTTCTTTAGGTGCCTGCATTCGTTTCTTTATGGCTCCTGTTGTTTTCTGCGCATACTTTATTTTGACCTACAGTACGCTGTGAAAATCTACTAGTTTGTCACCCAAATTCTTCACAAAATGAGCCATGTGGATGGCTGCTGGTACGTGATTCAATACAACTTGCTCAAAACTTTGACAACTGGATTTCAATCCGAAACAGTTGGTTTGTAACTGTCCTAAACCTTATTTCCGTGTAATTCCCTTATTTCCCTGAATTATGAAAGCCTACAAATCAATAAGAGCTGGGAACTGGGAACTTGATATTTTGCCCATCCACATGGGAAAACTGCCACATCTTTGGACACTTTTGCCCATCCAAAAAATCAGGTGCCTCAAAAAATCCACGGAGGTAATATGATGATATAATGATATATAGTCTTTTTGGTATATAATCCCTTATGAAATGCCCCTAGAAACCTTGGTTTTTGATATTGGCCCTCTTCCTTCTCTTGGTAATTTAACATAGCTATGGACACTCACCATCTTTTCTAGGTAAATCATCTATGTATAAATATGCCATCTGCATTATAGCTATGGTAACAAACGACCAAATCATCCATGGGTAATCACTTCCATAGCTATTTCATATAAAGGACATACTCCCCCAAAAGATCAAGAAGTGCTGGCTGGTATAATTAGATGCTACCCACAAAAAATCTCAAAACATGCAGCTTTTCCAACATGTTCGATCTATGGTGAGTTTCCATGTTTAATGGGACCCCTATCCATTTTTTCCATCAACCAGCCATGCCATGCCATGCCCAGGCGCCGTCTTGTCACGTAGCGAGTCCAACTCATCCAGGGCCTTGGTCATGGCATCCGCCTTCATGGTGCTGCCCTCCGAGACGGCCACGATCTCACCGCTGTCCAGCTTGCCTTGGTACCAGGTTGGGATTTCACCAGGGAATCTCTGGTTGAAAGACACCAACCGGGAGTGAAATAAATCATAGGGCATTTACTGAACGCTAGAAAAAAAGAACACCACCAACTCCATATGATTCGTTTTTTGCTGTGAGAATTGAGGGATGGGGAGTCTACCCCTTCTAGTAATGGCTAGTTTTAAAGGGATGATGAACCAGTGGAATTGGGGATACCATATTTTTAGACAAACCCATTTTCACGAGGAGAATTATCAAATTGATCCAAATCAGCCGTAAGTCATGTGTACCCATTTTGAAGAGGAACATCTTTCACAAATTATCTGTCCATTCTCACTGGGGAAATTTCCATTGCCATCCTTGATTGGAGGCTACAAATTCAAGTTGTTCATCGGCTGGAAGATCATCTGTACGTCAGGGGCTGCCGGTCAAACCATCTCCATTGGATGCGGTGTAATGCCAGAGGGTGATGGCAGTATACAAAAAAAATCACCTTTGAATGTACCCAAAGGCATCAATCCACCATGGTTGACGAGTCCGGGGTTGCATCGTGCCTCAAACATGAGAGCAAGTTGGGATCATCATGGATCATCATTTTGAAAGATGAGGTGGTTGCCACAAGTGGTGGAAATGGACACTGGAAATGACTAATGCTAAACGCCACGTAGAAATCTGGCGGAGTCAAAATTTGACCCACAGAAACCGCCCATCGCAACTTTCTGCTCCAGTGACCCTGGAGTTCTCCAAGATCTGCCAACTTAGCAAGTTGTTCCTGTTCCAACTTGCCGGCTGCAGCCATCTCATCATTCACGCCATAGAGGATGCTGTTGTACTCCTATCATCCACGACTTAGATGTTGGTTGCTGGTTTCCACCAAAAAAGGAGGAACACCAAGATCAAGCATCATGAGAAACAGGTCAAAGCATTGAGTGTCTGAGAGCTTTGACAATTTCTAGTTGACTGATTGCTGGTGTCAACATCATCTCATCCAATGAACAGACTATTGTGGAGTTCATGCAATGGAACCAACTGGAGTTTATTGAACACAGTGTTTAAGTTGCTTCCGGATTTGGACTCAAAATTCAGTGCATCAAAAGGACAATATAAGTCCATCACCATCCATGGCTCTTGCATGTTGACCTATGCAATCCGAATAAGGAATCAAAAAAGAACACACCCAGCTACCCGCAAAACAAAACATGTTTTTGTGTACAAACCATCCATGTCACCATATTTCACCATGTTCTTCTTGGGTCCATGGTGGTTTCCCAAATATCTCTCCCCCAGAAAACCGCCGTCCTCACACTCAATCTTGTACTTGCGTTCGATCTCTGGCATCCTCGGATTTTTGCGCCAGTTTCCCCATGTCTCGTATGTCTGGTGGATCAGAATACTGACCATGAAAAATACCACAACTATAATTGCCATAACATGTAATAACATGGTAGAGCTACCACATATAGAATCTCAACCCCGGATTAATAAACCCTGATTGATTAATTTTGGCGGTTCTCCCAAATAGTGATAAATGGCTACTGAAATGGTACATTACCCCCCAATTAAACAACCACCTAGGTGTGAATTAATCCGGGGTTGACGTTACAACATATTCACATAATAAGAATAATAATGATAATAATAATAAGTAATAATAAAAATAATAATAATAATGATAATAATAACAACAATAATAATAATTAATAATAATAATTATTATTAGTATTGTTATACATATATATATATATCATAATATACAGAACCATATACACATAACCGACATAACCATACCTCGGAACACAGAACATACAGAACACATATCCAGATCATGCCAGGCATCTGCGCCACGGCCTCATCCATAGACAACGCCTTGGCGTTGGCCCAGCGCTCGCCGTGCTCCTCCGCGTAGGTGGCGAAGATGTCGTAGGCCGGGTCCGATGTCTTCAGGCGACGCAGGAAGGCCTCCTTGGAGCTCTCACCTGCGAGGCGTTGACCATGAACAAAAAGGAACTTTTAACCATGTAAAATCCATGAAACATGTGGGTTTTAGGACGTTTTAAGCATAGATGGGCTTTTGAATGAGGATGAAATGTCAAAAATCAGGCTCACAACCATTCGAAATTGGATTGAATGGGGATATGATGTTTCCTTTTCTTTGGAGTTTAACAATCCAATGGTAGAAGTAGTTTGAAGTGTCACAAGGAATGATGATTTGACCGACAAAAATTGGGATTTAATTAAACAAGAAGGGATTGAAGCGATCAACCGTAAGTTGAACGGGCATATAATGGTATTAATGGGAATGTATATATATATAATATGATTATATATATATGTAATATAGGATTATATTGGGATATGATCAACAAGATGATCCGAAATGGGATAGACAGCAATTTCTGGCTGAGAGAGAAGATTAAACCAAGCATACTATGGAGATCCATTGGAGTTACCAGTGGGACTTCACGTTTCCTGCCAGCCAAAATATCGTGGGGAAAACGCTGGTTTAACCACTGGACTTACGGGTATTTATTGGCATTGGCGATAGTTGGTGTTCTTTTAATGGGGATTCAACCAACCATAATGGGGATATGCTGGGGATATAACCAACAACATGGAGAAACAGTTGGACATCTGCATATTATGAGGCAACAATCATTGTGTGACATCCTGGATTTGCTTTCTGATTCTTTGTTCTTTAATTTACATTTTAAGGGGCCGAACGGCCTATCATTACGGAGGGACAACGGTGACCATGTACAGCAGGAAATCCCGGTCCCGCCTGGTGCTGTGAACCAATTTCCAGCCAGGCCCTCCTTTCGCGAACTCAAGATCTCGGCAAAGGATTCAAAGGCTGCGGCATAGCCGGGCTCAAACTTCCGTCCCGTCATCGTGGCATGGTCCGCCAGAGCCTGGAAGCACTCCACTGGATCCGGCGTGCTCAGTGCCTCGCCGGCCGGCTTGTAGAAGAGGCAATTCACATCTCCTCCCAAGCTGTAGAAGGTGCCCTTGCCGTTGTCCATCTGGATGGCTCGATAAAATGAGGTGCCAGATTGCACTGGCACATAGCTGTCACTAAAGAGGATGAAGTTTCCCATGAGCCGGGCAGCACATAGCTCGGTGGCGGTGGATTCCTTGGCGATCAACTTGGAGTAATAGGCCTCACCTTAGAGTTGCTTGTGGAACCCTCCCATTCGGATGGATGTTTCGAAACCGGTGCAAAGCACACCTCAATCCTGAAGCATCCCATTTTATCACCATTATACATATTCTGTATATATATATATAATTATATATATATATTAATTAATCAGTTAATTAATTTATGTGTTTATTTATCATTATTTATCTATTTATTTATTTATCCAATTTATATCTTTGATTAATACCGTAAAAGGATCTTAAAATCTCCAAGTTGCCATCATGTTCCAAGTCATGTGGGTGAAAGTCATGGAAGGCCTCACGAGACCAGGTGGCCTCGTGGCCTTGACGTTTCCTGCGCTGGAGCACATTGTAGATCTTGAAGCGGATGTCATAGATCTCCGCGTACCACTTTGTTGGCATTGTCTCTGGGAAGGTCCTGGCGGTAAAAGGGGATCAACAGACTCAGCGACTCCAACGAAGAAAATTTCTGCTGCTCACATCAACAATTAAACTATATAATTAAACTAGTTTAAACAATGACAATCAATGACAATCAATGACATCATTCTTGACACTCCCGAGTGGGCTGATTCATCTGATTCTCACACTTCCCACCCTGGTCCTGGCATCTCCTCCAGTCTTGGTGAGGTAGAAAATCATGTGCTCAATCAATGGACCTCTGAAAACATCATAGTACTCAAAGGATGGGCGCTGATACAGCAACTTGTTGTTCTGCCGGGTGGTTCCACGGCCATCAAAGGTCTCCCAATTTCTCTTCAATGTGGCCTTGTTCTTGGCATCATAGTCCTTGCTCTCAGGATCCTCCACTGCACTGGCCAAGTGATTGTGGTAGAAGTGGTGCTTCTCCACGAAAGCTTGCCAATATTGGTCTGCATCCAACCTGGTACCGTACCAAAGAGCTCGTCATGATCTGACAATTTAACTGGGATCAGAAATTTGATCATATAAAATCCATGTCTTATATGTCTTGGAGTCTTGGAGATTCCACATCGTATATCTAAAAAACATATGTTAAAGCAGGAACCAGGAACCATTCAGACTGTGACAGCAAAGAGATAGGAGGATTCTGGAACGAGATCCACAAGGCACGGGCTCCGTTCTTCAGAATCTGCTCGGATTTCTCCACGGATTTCTGGCAGCTTGTCACCGAGGCGTCAAAAAGTTCCCAACCTTCGGTCTGTTTCTTCACCGCTGCGGCGTGGTCCTATGGTTGGATGAGCTGATCTCGGTGTGGGTCAAAAAAATCGAGGTACTGAGGTACCTGTTTGGTCCTAGAACCATCCTGGGGATCAATGGGATTGGCTCATCATCTGCCCCTTCACATTGGGCCAAATGCCAGAAAATAAGCATGCTCAAGTAAATTGGGACTTGGATGTGCGTAGCAGTTTATGTACGTGGTTTATAACCCGTTTAAAAAAACATTAGTCTAACTAGGGATATGGGGATATTCCATCAATCTACCTGGGTTTTTTGTGATTTCATTTTCACAAAACCACCAGCCATCGACCATCCCATCAGCCCATTCAGCCCATGACCGTCCTCTTTCAGGACCTGCTCCAGCAACGTGGACTGCTTCTCGTGGAAGCCTTTCAGGCATCCCAAGACCTCCTTGTTGCTAATGCGCGAATCCCATGAAGACCAATCGATGGCCTCTGACAGTCTGAGCTTACCACGATGGCCTCTGAGTTTACCATCGTTTATCATGGCTTTAGGATATGGTTTGTCATGGTTGATCATGCATCTATTGAACAGGCAAAAAGTTGAACACTGCCAGGACGATATAAATTGCTGTAGCCATGTTTCTGTTTTGCTGCTGAATTCCCCACAACTGAGACCCTTCGGCAACAGCATCCAGCCTTAGGTCCAGCCGTTGACTCCACCACCGATGTAACCTGCGAGTCGCGAACTCGAAGTCTTCGGAACTCTTCCTGGTTCTTCTCACCCACTGCATACTCCTTCCCAGCCAGTTGTTGTTTTGGAAGGGAGGAACCTCCCATTAACCGTTAACCCCCACATTTGCTGGGTAGAACCAATGTTTCCTGTATTTTCATGTATATCATGTAGTTTTGTTTCTTCAATCAATCCAAACACCCCTGCGAAAGCTCTTTCTTGATCAAAGGATTGGCAGACTAAGTCAAGGATATAAAGGCTTAGGGGTTGTGTTTCATGAGGCATCAACACCCGTTGGTCTGGACAAAACTCGCTGGTAGTTATGGAGGCTCCTCCCCTCATTCAAATGGTCCCAAAATTGTTGATCCATCCCCCACCATCTTCAACCTGCCCTGGATTCAGCTTTCTTTTTCTAGCTGCCTAGTAAATATCACGAAACAACAAGTGCAAATGAAATCAAACCATTAAAACCCATTAAACAACCCATTAAACAACCCTTCGCCAATTTCACCAGTGGCCTCCCGATACTTTGGTGAAATCCCCACCCCCCAGTCCTGCAGCATGTGCCATCGATCTCTCCGAGGCAAAGCACGGACCCCACGGATGCCACGGCGCATCATTGCCAGGCAAAGCGAATCGGGTCGGTCAGGGCGCCCGATTTTCAGCTGAGCCCAAGTGAAGAGTCACTTTGGTGGTGGCTGGGCTAGTTTCTGCAACATCTGCAGGGAGAAACGTGTTGTTTTCTGAGGGTTTAAACATGTTTAAAGGCATCCAAAGCTATGGGATTCCACCAAGATTCAAACTGAGCAATGGATTTGAAACCTCCATTTGAACGTTCTGGTTTACAAAAATGATGAAACCTAGTGGAAATAGATGGAGATTTGCAGTGTGGGTCATCAAACCTGGCAACAGAACATCACCAACTTGTAGCCACTTATCCATACTTTCGCTGTATCTCAGCCATGTTTGACCGGACATGATTGCTGGATATTGCTGAGATGATTTGAAGATCATTCCCCCAGTTTCTTCAGAATTCTCTACCTCAGTGCATTGTTTTCCCTATCAGCAAGTTTTCCATTCATCAAATCAATCCATAGCCAAATTTATTGCGTGAACATGTGGTAATTCAACATAGCTATGGAAAATCAGCATCTTCAAGTGAATCATCTATGAATGGACCATGTTCATCCATTTTAACCACGGCTATCTAACAGACTGCCCTGAGTTTCCAGACTCCGCTGCCAGCGCCCAGCCCGCCGCTGCACAGCGATTGCTGGCGTCCTAAGGGTCAAACAAAACATCAAAGGACAACCAAAACACATTACGATTCCAACAACATATACCAATATATAACAAGCATACTGTATATAATCCTTTTAGGTACGAGTAAACGATATATTGGTACAGTTTTTTTGGGGGGGCAATATCCCATGACTGTTGGAGAATAATATTGCCACATTAGCTGGACACCCCGCAGTTTGCTCGGGACATCAAACCCTGGGGCATCTTTCAACCAGGATCATGAAGAAATGCTTCCTTCTCGCTCGTTAGTTCGGTTCATCATGATTTGGATCGCGTTTCAACAGACCTGAACTGATTTAAGAAGAGATTATTCCACATGGTTAAGTCATGGTTAAGTCGAATGGTTAAATCAAAAAATCATCAAAAATTGGATCAAAACATGGTTGAATCATCATAAATCATGGTTTAAATTGGATCAACTTGGTATGATCAGTCAATAGGCCTCCATGACAGTTTCAGGCCTCTTCAACGATTCCGCTGTCCAAGGCCTCGCGACAAACAGAAGTGGGAAGTGGCCACGACCAGTCATGGTATAGATTCTGTATACATTGTAAATATGTATATAATATATTACACATTATATGTATAAATATATATATATTTATTATTATATATAGATAATAGCACGTGGGTCTATTCTATTGCCACAATTCAGTTCCGAAGGTTCTCACTTCACACCTAGAAAAACTAAACGATAGATAGATGATAAACCACCTCATCCAACAATCTTTCGCTAAATCTTTCGCCAAAACAAAAATAATTTCTTTCGCAAACTCAGGGAAAAAAGTTTGCCGGGTCTCGTGTTGTAACACCGGCGGCCTTCCTAATGGAGAATCCCTACATGGACCTTTAGATCAACTCCATATATATATATATATATGTAGATAGAGAGAGAGGGAGAGACAGAGATACCCCCAATGATCAAATATAATCATAGAATACAACTCAGCAATCATTCGACAGCAAAGGGATTTTCTCCAAGTGTGGTATACCCGGTATACCCGGTCCCAATCCTTGGTCATTTTCCTACGAAAAATATGTTCTCAACATCCGGATTTCGGGGTTTCCCCATACAAACTCATACTAAGAATACATGTTTTTGCATTGTTTTGATATCTTGGATTTCAGTCTGGATTGAACCATCCCATGGATTTTAGATGGAACCAACACTCTCGGGACAACATCTATAATAGGTATTGTTAAACATACACATCTATATAAATCGTGATAGATATTGATGAACATTCCATAACATTACTAAGCATTCTCGAGACATCCCCGAAACAGCCCCCAAATCCACATTTTCACGCGCTTACTTCGCCTGCAGTCTTTGCACCAACTTCCCAAGGCGTCCGATTTGCTCCTCGGGATGTGCTTGCCACTGAGGCAAAACCCGAACATCAGGAAAGTATGCTGTAGCTTTCAAAATCATGTATGACTGTATGAAGGCATTGTCTCAAAATGGAGGACATACCCCCACAAAATTCCCTGCATCAGAATCCATCAAACGTGGTACATCATCCTTTGCTTCAATATTTACTGGCCCCTAAACTAAGGTATCTCCCCCTTGTCCAATCTCTTGGCCGCTGAGAAGCAGACCCACAACATGGTCACAAGTTTCAGCCTGGCACAAGAGGACACCCCTTGATCCAAGGTATAAAATGGTATAAACCATTTAGGGGTAGTGAAAACATCTAACAACCATCTCATCGGGTTTACTATGGCTTACCATGGTTTACTACCTTAAGTTCATTAAGTGCTGAGGGGGGACCCTTTCTGGTCAAAGAAAAGAATTTATAACGAGAGGAGACACAGCTCTCCGCAAAATTGAAACATCTTGAAACCACCAATCACATGACATTGTCATGAAATATGCATGCAACTCACGTGCAAATGGAGTTGTCGAAAAACAAGATTAAACCCAGTGACCCAGTACCCAAAAATCCGGTGGTCTAAAACCTCATTTTATGTGGCCATGAATTGCGGTCTCGGTTCGGGATAAACCATGATAAACCCACATGTCCCAGGAATTTCAAAAGACCTGCCGAACCTGGAAGCATCCTGGGTCTCTTCATCACTTGACCTAAATCCATGTCGAATCTCTGGCCCGATTTTGACATATTTTGACCAGGGGGCATGTCTACAGATTCTACAGTCTACAGCAGTCTACATGATCTGCATCTTGATCCGTTGAGGTGGAAGCTCAAGGGTGTGCCGGCAAGCTGTTGCCTGGGGATCCAGTTTGGCACGTGTCACCAGTGGAACCAACACGCAGAGTTTGGTCGGTGCACATGAAGGTTTTAGATGGTTTTAGCACATCAAATGTTGGTGCTTTTTCCTCCACCAATTTCGACTATCTGGATCGTCCATCAATCCATGAATCAATGCTGCTTTGAGATGCGTCGAATGGTTGAATTTTGCTACCTGAGTATCTTGCCAGGGCCTTCAAAGCTCGGCCTGTTGTCCATTGGTCGTGATGAGTTTATATAGTGATCTTGCTATGCTGCAATAGTCTTAGTCCTCGCCTGGCACCTCATGTCAACCCTGGATGATTGTAGGTTACCTATGTGACCCACAAAAAGTGATCATAGATCTGCTACTCAAATGGTACACTCCCAATTAAGCAACGCAGGAATTTTATTGGTTCGGGGCTTGACATTCATGACAGTTCTGTACTCCCATTGAAAGACTTGGATTTCTCGCCCAGCTGCATTGCGCCTAAAGTTAGAAGATGTGTGCCATGCTTGGCGACTCTGCTCTTCTCTAAATCACCACCTGGCAAGGCCACAACCTCCGGCAACCAAAAGCGACATTTCTGGTACGACTGTAGCTTTCCCTTGAGAAGAGTTGCGGGTTGCCGCACTCTATATTTGATATATTCTCACCCGTGGAATGCGCAAGCGCGGTGCACCTGGCATCTTCAACAGGGCTGTTACCTCAGTATGGACGTGGAAAATTAGGTCCCAACAACAGACTGCGGTTCATCATCAGAATCATCTGCTGCTGCGGTGCACATGTGAATCTCCACCAGGCTCCCGGCTAAGCGTCCCAGTGCCAGCAAGACCTCCATGGAGACCCAATAAGTTTGACCCCCCATTGATCAAATCCGATTTATTGGGATTGATATGGGTTGATATGGGTTGATATGGGTTGATTTCCAACAATTAAACATAATTATATATAATTACAGCAATAGCTTGTTACTTTCTTCTTAAAAAATGATATTGTATGTGCTCGATACCCAAGAGATCGAGCGCCTGCACAGAATGGCGAGCGCCACTGGGACGTACAGCCTGAACGGCGTTCAGCATGGCGAAGCATGGCGAAGCAACCCGGCTGCTGTTGGTTTCAAGCCATCCAAAATGAATCAGCCAATTGATGCCAATTGGTATCGCTCAAGATACTCAAGTAGATCTTCTCTAATTGAACCTGTAAAGTCTGCAAAGATACGGGATGATTACAGAAATAAAGAATTAAAACCACCTACCCCAAATTGGCAATCTTGGCATTTCCGTCGGTCTTCCCCACAGCGGTCAGGGCTCAATGTGTGCAACAGCTATCTGAGGGCCAGACCTGATTCGCCGTCCACTCAGCAACCTTCGGAGCATCGGTTCAAATTTATATGGCTGGTGAAAACCCCATGCTGCGTGGTTATTAGTTGTTAGAACATATTGATCTGGAGAATTTCTAGTAGTTCACTGACCTGAAATAAGGTGATTGGGATGCCGCCCTATACACTAGCCATTACAGTGAGAACGCAGTAATTTACTGATGTCATTATAATTTACCAACATCGACATATCGCTTACAACAAGAATACGTTTGACAATTATGGGCCCTTAGAAATTTGTTCTTTGTCTTCAGGTACTGTAGACCGCGGGTGTTCAATAGCCTTGTGACTTACGACTCATGATCAGCTGCAAGGGACCAAAATTTCGGCTGATTTCTGGGGAATGGACGCTTCATTACTTGAAATCCCTCCAATTCATTGGTGATATCATACCCCCCGTTGTTGTCCGTTGACATCCCCAATATTTCTCAATATAGCTAGTAAATGGATATCCATCCCATTGAAAAACTGGGGAGGAATGCCCATAGGTGCTATGGCCTTTTATAGCTGGATAAACTGTACCAAACATGTCGGTTTTTTTTGATCCATCCCCAGATCTGCCAAGGATTTCACCATGATTTCCGTCCAAGGCACTGAAAGCCGCAAAGCAGTTCCTTCAGCCGCATAGGTGGGAGCCTCAGCGCCCCGGGCGGGAGTTTAAGCAACAAAACGAGAGTGTTCAACCAATCAATATGTTTTATTGTTATTGTTATAACCAACCAACATGGTTTTTAACTGTTAACCTGTAAGGCAAACAAAAAGAATTGATCACAGGCTTTTGAGCAACGGGGTACACATGATGTTCGGGGTCAATGTTGCACCAATGATGATGACTTCCATTGCCTGAACTGGTCCAAGATACAAAACATCGAGCATCCCCAAATGTAAGTAGACTATTTATGATATGCAATGTTACATCTTTGAAACAAATGCAAGTGCAAATGTCCTGCGGTTTTTCCGATTTTCCATGGCCAGTTTTGTTTTTCATGGGGGATATGGCGACCGTCCCATACCTTCAATGGTTTTCGCTCTGGCACCAAGGGCTTGCTGGTAAGGCACTGTGAGACTTGCTTCTAAACAGTTGATCACCTACCACGCCAAATGCTGAGCAAATGATCGTTTTTGCATGTTCCAGTCGTCAATTACATGGTTCAGCATTGACACTTGACATGCAATCATCAATTCCCGCATCATCACTGAGTTTCTTGAACAGCAATCTATGCGTTTCAAAGTGGACGCAGGTGTAGCGCAGCCAAACACATCAAAACGCCCAGTAGAACCATCAACAGAATCAACTGGCACTGCTCTCATGTCCTGACCTCCATCAAAATTGGAAAGCTCCCAAGCTCTTTTGACCCAGCAAAACTCATCAACCATGGCCTGGGAACAGCTGAAGCTCCGCATCAGTGGTTGATCCCAAGTTAATTAGTCAGGATGATCTCTGACGAAATGGGACCAACGGTTTGAGGGAAATGAGGGAATGGGGATCGCCACTTTTCTGAATCCACAATGGAGTTTCACTTTTCCCGAGGATCTATCTTATCAATTCTTATCAACCTAAGAAATCGAGAGTATGGTTTGGCCGTCTAGCTTTCACAGCTAGTTCAGCGGTGCAAACCATGTGGTCGTTGGGTTCCCATGGACTCCCATGGACTTCCATGGACACAGCTTCGAGGCTCCCGGCAACACATGCCTTCGTGCAAGGGCCCGCCTCAAATGTTGGTGGAGACACATGGGGTAGGTCCTTTAGCAGGATGGTTTGCCCCATGATGTCCAAGATTGATTTGAACCAGTAATGTTCAATGTTTTCCAATGTTATGAAACATATCACTCAATATTATCCAATAATTATAAACATACCACCAACATTTTTTTACAACACCTGATGGTTCCCAATAGAAAAACCCACAAGATCAACCATCATTGTTGGTGCAGTCGGCCATCACAAATCATAACTGGCCACGTTGGCCACAACCACTCATAACATCTATATAAATATAACAACTATGACATGGCTAAGGACTATAGACTCTTATCATCACAGTCTTATTCTTGATAGATGTTCTATAAAGACTAGTGTAAAAATGACAAGAATGATGATAATCATAAGAACACATTGTAAAACTATCTCATAGTTACCACAAGTAACAAGTTATTAGCTAAGTGAACATAATTAATGATTATCATGATTACTACCGTTAATATTGATCACAATTACTAAGTGATTACCAAAATGATGAAACATGATAATGATCACTATAATCCAAAAATGATCACAATTAATCTGTGACTAGCTAAATGATTATTACCTATTACAAAGGTCATAATTTCCTAGGACTCCCCATAAAAAATATCATCACTATCATCAAAAATAATCATCACCGGCTAATCATGGCTGATCATCATCACCATCACCATCACCATCACCATCACCATCACCATCATCATCATCATCATTAATCATCATTAATCATTAATCATCATTAATCATTAATCATTAATCATCATCATCATCATCATCATCAATAATCATTAATCATTAATCATCATTAATCATTAATCATCATTAATCATTAATCATCATCATCATCATCATCATCATCAATAATCATTAATCATCATTAATCATTAATCATCATTAATCATCATTAATCATTAATCATCATCATCATCATCAATAATCATTAATCATTAATCATCATTAATCATTAATCATCATTAATCATTAATCATCATCATCATCATCAATAATCATTAATCATTAATCATCAATAATCATTAATCATCATTAATCATTAATCATCATTAATCATCAATAATCATTAATCATTAATCATCATTAATCATTAATCATCATTAATCATTATCATCATCATCATCATCAATAATCATTAATCATTAATCATCATTAATCATTAATCATCATTAATCATTAATCATCATCATCATCATCAATAATCATTAATCATTAATCATCATTAATCATTAATCATTAATCATCATCATCATCATCAATAATCATTAATCATCATTAATCATTAATCATCATTAATCATTAATCATCATCATCATCATCATCAATAATCATTAATCATTAATCATCATTAATCATTAATAATCATTAATCATTAATCATCATCATCATCATCATCAATAATCATTAATCATTAATCATCATTAATCATTAATCATCATTAATCATTAATCATCATCATCATCATCATCATCAATAATCATTAATCATTAATCATCATTAATCATTAATCATCATTAATCATCATCATCATCATCATCATCAATAATCATTAATCATTAATCATCATTAATCATTAATCATCATTAATAGCCATTGAAAAAAAACATTAAATAATAATAACCATTCATCAAAATATCATCAAAATATCATCAAAGCCCATCGGATGCTCCACTGGATGATCCACTGGATCCACCGGGAATGGCCTGGAGATTTCATCGCCTCCCAAGGCTCCTCCCAACGTTTTTCTTACCACTCCGGGAGCTGCAGATGGTTCAACTGATATAAAGGACACATATATGATATATATGATATATATGTGTATGTATATGATAATTGATTCATTGATAGTTATTGATAGATAAAACATGATTTGTAAAATGATTTCAACCAACCGAAATGGCATAATTTAAAACAAACAACAGCAACAACAATTGGTGCTAAGGAACCAAAACGGGGATCAGACTAAGGAAAGCAGGGGTTCAACAAACCAAAGTGGCGAATTGACCAACTGGTAAACCAGCAATTCCATCGGAATATCACGGGGATGAAATGAATGGATACTAATGGGATACGCACTGTAACCAACAATATGATGTTTTTGTTCGTCCAAACATGTGGAAATTAACCGGCTAAAAGAGGGACTTGAGAGCAGGCGGAGGCGGACGAAAGGTAGTGTAGTGGGAGAGGAGTGGTGTCAAAATGCTGCGCCCCTAAGATGATACACCAAAAACCTTTTTGCGCAGTCTAAGATGATTTTATCCAGAGCATGACTGCATGATACGGTGTCTTGTGCAGCGTGAAATGATGCACGAAAAGGGGTTTATTTAAAACCCCTTTTTAAGACCCCTTGCAGCAACTGTTATTGAGGCTGAAGCAAACCAATTATGCTGGACTACAGGGACATCTCCCTTATGGAGAGTGTGCCTCTAATGTGGGGGCCCGTGACCGCGTCACCCGTGGGAATTGAACCCACGACCATTTTAGAGGGGGGGGGCTTATAATTGATATCCAATACATAACGGCGAGAATTCCTCGTTTCGCCCGGGCTGGCCCCCCAATACCCCCTAAGCTTGTGCTGAAGCACGGAGAACTCAGGTAGCTGACGCTACCTTTCGTGATTTAGCTGATTCAATCAACAAAAACTAGTGACTTAACCACTGAGAATAATGAACCACTGGGTTTGTCCAAACATGGGGAATTTAGCTCCAACCTATCAAACCCATGAGGAATCTTTCGTTTTCCAGCATGCGATGGATCAGGGTACCCTGATTTTATCGTAAAACCGCTGGTATCCGATGGTATCCGAGTACCAGCAGCTATCCGATATCATAATATGAATTGAATTGCCCAATGGGACAGTTGTAAGATTTAACTTTCAGTTTTAAAGCAAGTGTTACATTGTTACATGATACACTTCAATTGAACTGTAATTTGTCCAATTTTTGTGGTGTGTGGTTTTGACCCATTCGGATATCATGACTCACAAGAACTGGATGCAAACACTATATACTCAGAATGATCTCCCAATGACATCAACATCTGTGGATTTGAAGGTATTAATATTTAACACATAGCCATGAAGATCCACATGCAGAAGAACTGAAAATAACAGTCGTTCAGTCAAAGTCATTGATTTCGGAATTTCATCTGAACATTGTCAAGCCCTTCAACACCATCTGTTGAACAGATCAGTTTAGTATTCAAAGTTCCTGGAATCAAGAGACTCGCTACAAGGTTTGGTCAGGTCATTGGATATCCCATCCAACAAAATGCTCAATTAGGATCATCATCCCATTGAAATGGGATAGAAACAGCAAATTGAAATCGCGCCAATATTGGTCATTTCGGAGTGTTTCTCCCCCAGCCTGGCTAAACAACTCCATGTTTTTCCAGCTTTTGGTGTATCTGAAGCCAACAAAACACTATGAACATCTATACTATAATCCACTTAAGTCTTGACCAATTTCCATGAAATCCCGCTGAAGTCTTCACCACCCTTCACCCGTTCCTCCAGTCGCCAAACCACGTCGGAGGATTCGCAGAAACCACAGCCGCGCCTGAGATCACGAAGACCGTGCGAAGCTGCGTTTCGTGGCGTTTCGGGGTAAGCTTCCTTCATGGATATACTAGTGGATATTAAACGGGACATATAATGGATATAAATGTTTATTATATAAATGGTATTAATATCAGTATCCTATATATGAATATTCACCTTTTAATGGACATGAAATGGAATATATATAACCAGCAACGATTGGGAATATCATGGGATGTAAGGGCTGACATACATGGAATAGTAATACAAAGGTTGACACCATACATGTACGCTGCAACCCTGACGTTGCGCCGCGTCTGACTTCAGGTGACTATGAAGATAAAGTTGATGTTATTACCCCAATCAACATATTGTTCATAGGGGGTGGCGAATTTTGATCCCTTATGAAGATAAAGTTGATGTTTTTACCCCAATCAACATATTGTTCATAGGGGGTGATGAATTTTGATCCCTTATGAAGATAAAATTTATGTTATTACCCCAATCAACATACTGTTCATAGGGGGTGGCAAATGTTGATCCCTTATGAAGAGAAAGTTGATGTTATTACCCCAATCAACATATTGTTCATAGGGGGCGGCGAATTTTGATCCCTCATGAAGATAAAGTTGATGTTATTACCCCAGTCAACCTATTGTTCAGAGGGGGTGGCGAATTTTGATGTGATGATTATCATGATGTGATGATGTGGTGGTGATGATTATGATGATCATGATCATGATCATGACGATTGTAAGTGCGGAGACACTGGGTATAGTGAGATCCCCATAAGCCATATCCACTGGATTGTGACCATTTCCCTAGTAAATTGGTCATACGTCTCCAATTATGAAACCAACCGATTCTATGTTTTATCTTCCTACGTGCTAGGGTCAACTTACATGGAATTATGGATTGATTGTTTATGCTCAACCATCCCGTTTTGGGAATCCAAACATCATGGGTATGTAATAGAATCCCTTCCGATTGATGAGCATCTCCAGCTTTCGCAAATTGGCACAGATCCTAAAGCGTACCCATGCTAAATGAAACATAAGTTGCATGTACCCCATTTGTCTTCAGCAAAACGCAAGTAATTAGTGGTTTCTCCTGTGTAACTACGTGCCAGACCCCAATTATAAATCTTCTCTCTGAACATCAACTTAGAAATCTTATTGTCTTTGGCCCTGGCTCCTGTTGCTGAATGAATTTACTCCATCCACCGAGTCTGTTGGAACCGTCGTAGTTGGTTATATTATATATATATGTAGCTATCTATGTACATATCAGTGTCATTCCCATTTTCAGTGCCTGAACCCCCGATGTTTCTTCTATCCCCCATGGTGTTTCCTGAACATTTAAAAAAAAACGTGCAGATCCCTGCCTCCTGGCTGTCAGCAGTTTGTGGCAGCAGCAGCTTGTAGAACAAAGGCACATCCTCATAGAGTTCATCGAGTTTTTCATGGGATTTTCTGGGTCAAACATAGTTCCCACATGCTCCCACCCTTTGTTGTGTACAAAAAAATGTTGGGGACGAGGCCCAAGTTTTGAGGCAATGCTTTGTGGATCGCCCCAGCTTCTAACTGCTGTCCTGAAAATCAGCCGCCGGTTTACCAAAGAGGTACCTGCGCGCTAAACACTTTGAAAAACAATGATTTTGACCTTCGAGGCAAGCATATGCGCACTTTGCCAGGGTTTGATAAAGCATGTGCTGCGGCTGAATCAAGACTGGCCTCGGTGGTTTTTGGAGTCTGGGTTCTGAGATCAAACAAACATCCACCATAAACTTCCAACATCAGCACAAACTTTGTGTAGCTCCTATGATGGCTTTACTATCGGCATCTATTGTTGGCTATGCTTTTGACATTCTTGAACCTCCAAATTGCAAGAAAAATAAAACAACTCAGCAACTCAGCATCCTACACACAGCCAGCGAAAAAGGATGCAGCCAGTCGCGGCAGCGTCGGTGGATTGTCATCCTGGCGGAATCAGAATGTCGCAACTCTTGGCGGAAAAGAATGGGGGCTGTACCCAACTCCTGGCTGATCTTCTAAAACCCTCTGGCAGTCAAACGTGGTAATGGAAAATCCACCATTTAGTTCGATGATTTTCTGTCTTAGCTATAACTAAACCTCCATAGAAATATCCCATTGCCACGTTTGATTGCCGGAGAGTAACCTGAAAATCAAACGTATATCCTTACATCATGAATGGATTCTCCAAGGGCAAAGAATGATCCATTCACCTACTAAACCAAGGTTCGCCTTGTGCATTGATGATAAATAGCAACTTATACGGGTTTAACTCCTCGGCCGCCTCAATATTGAGTATGGGTCAAAAATTACCATTGGAACCGCAGATTTTGGAACATGTTTGGTATACCCTCCCCATTTTCTGGGGATCCTAACAATTTTGACCCATATGAATCTGCAGCCCGTAAATCATCTTTGCTGCTCAGATGGCCTCTGGAGTATCTAGGCCATCTCGCACGTAGCACAGTAAACGAACCTCGGTATTTTTTTTTTCTGGCTGACCCCTTTGCTGGATTCCTTATGGTCGGGGACTGTCTTAAACATGTTTATATAGTATACATTATTATGTTTTATTATACATTGTATTAAAAATCGATTCCAATTCTTGTGGACTGTGGACAGTAAACTACTCAATCTACTCAGATTCTATTCCATATGCCATATGCACCTGCAAACCCCTGCGCAAATAGGCCGTCAATGACCGCGACGACATTGCACAGCGCTCCGAACCGACCCCAATCCCGACGTTCCCCTCGCGAAGCGATCCCTTTGCCCAGCCGTAGTCCCATGGAACATTTCCATTCACTCCTGTCATGAAATTTAATTCTATGAGGGTGGGTAAAAACCCATGATTTTTCCCATATGAGTGGGCGATAGTGGGGGTGTTCACCAGCTACACTGACTGATACGCATACCATCCCGGATTTCCATAGGGGATTCATGAAGAGGCCGCGAACATGGGTCAGCGGTCAGCCCAGCAACAAGCTCGGGAAGTTCTCGAAAAGGCAAACGTTTGTTGGCCTGGAACAAAGCTGCACAAGCGCAGCCAAGGCTTTCGTCCCTCTCGTGAAAACACAATGTAACAAAATGGTAAACAAACATGTGTGTTTTTTTTAAACTATATAGGCAAAGGTTTCTTGAGGTTTCTTGGGGTCAAAGAATCATTTGGGTTTTGGGTAGGCGGAAACTGGAACCATTGGATTTCATGGCATCTTCAAGGCATGCCGCCCCATTGGCGTTAGGAGACGGTAATGATTCAGCGAATCAGTGCATCAATGAAGCAATGAATCATCGAATCATCGAGTCAACGAATCAACCGCGCCCTAACATGTTGCAGTGTTGTATATGATATAGTCCTGTGTACTTTTTGTTGACAACTTTCCCAAATCGAACCCAAAACCGCGGAAACAGAGACCCTACTTCGGCGACCTCAGGAGCCACAATACCCAAAAACACAGGGTTTTGAGCCCGAGAGTGCTTTCACCCGTGAATTCACACGCTTCTGAACTGTTAACATTTCCCAACTACTTGATGATGGGTGGTTGACATGATGATGTGGTTGACTGAATGCTAGCCATGACCATCGTCCGTAACTCGGAAGTTTTCTAACTAAACTTCCTTTGAATATATATATATATATGTATATGTATATGTATATATATATGTATATATAATATATATATATGTATATATATATATATATGTAATTATATATATACACAATTATACACACTACATATCAGCTATGCCTGCCTGAGTCATCAACTGTCATTCACCATTCACAAACTTCATTGGATCCAAAATTCCGCGACGACTTGGCACCCTTTGAGCAGCGCCTCATCCTTTTCGAAGCTGGTGACATTCCAGAAATGTGCTATGGCCAGCACGATCGAGAGCGCCTTGTCATGAACCCAACATACCCAACCAATCAATGAGAGATAGATTGCGCGGTTCCAAACCAAGATCCAAGTGTTTCCCAAGAGTTCATTTCCCAATTTTTCCGAATCAAGTTCAACACAGTCATGTTAAAGCCTGAAAAGGTATCGTATGCGTATGCAATAAGTATACATACATACGAAGCTGGGAACTAATCTGAACATATCTTTATTTCATGGTATTTCAATATCTTATTGAACTGTTAAACTCATATAATCTCATGTACACCTATTCTTTTCAACCTTAAGGTGAAGATGTTCAGCGTATTCTATAATCATTCCTCAGATTTTCCCATGAAAAACAAGGGATTCAATCCATCTAATGTGGCTAAAACAATCATAAACCATCCCAGAAATCACCATAAATAGGTGATATAAACCATTCCCAAATGGGTGGTTTACGGCATTGTTTTACCCACATCTATACAAGGTGGGCCCCCCCAGTTATAAGTTGGTTTATAAACCCCATTAACTATAGTTATAAGTAGCATAAACCATAGTTATTGGAGTTATAAACCAACTTAGCTATCTTGGGGGCACCACCTTGTACCATCTTTTTCCGCCTCAAACGCGCAGGCGCGCAGCAAAGGCTCGGCACAGGCGGTGCCCAGCAGTAGAAGCTCCAGCGCGCCGCCGCACATGGCGGCGCTGAGAGTGGCGCCCAAGGATTGGGATGCCACACCACCACCTGGAAAATTCATCGGGTACCCTCTGGTAAACTAACATAGCTATGGAAAATCACCATTTTTAATGGGAAAACTCACTATTAATGGCCATTTTCAATAGCTATTTTGACATAACCAGAGGGTAAATTTGAATGAAATGGTGACATGGAGATTGATTGATGGGATGAAATATGCCCAAACAAATATGAGAGAATGATGGGATAATGAGCTATGTCAAAAAAAAGATGCCGAACAATCAAAGAAACTTGGAAAAAATGTAGGAAACATCATGGAACTACCAACCTGGAAACACGGTTCTATCTTTTTTTGGGGTTGCTATAATCACGGTATACTGAATACTGCTGGGATATGGGAATATGTAATATCATGAATCTAACCAACAATATGTATTGGCACATGTGATAATGATGGGATATGGCATAATTGGATATTTCATGGGGTAGTGAACAATACTGGGGATTTACTGGGATACAACGGAATAACCCTCTGGTAGACTAACAGTTGGCTATTGAGAATCACCGTTCCAGGGAATGATCATTGAACTAATTGGGTCCTTTTCTGTAGCCATTGCAAAACATATTTGGAACTGTTTTGTCAATGTTCGGTTCTCAATGGATTAAGAACATAAGTTGAGGGTGTATGATGCCTCCACTGAGAACAGAATTGAGCCGTGCTCAACCGGAGAATAGGGATTGGTTAAGAAAGGGACTGGCAGCTCATGGATTATGATCATCCCCATACATTGGAAAGGGGAAACCACATGTAACCATTAATCAACAGGCAACAGGGTTTTTGAACTCTGCTCGCCTGGAAAATTATACAGGATATGTTTGGGATATAGTGGGATGATGATGGAAAATCGAACAAAATAACATCGCATATATATCTGCGTATATATATAGGTTGGCAATATATATATAATATAATATAATATAATATAATAATATAATATAATATAATATAGTATAATATAATATAATATAATATAGTATAATATAATATAATATAATATAGTATAGTATAGTATAATATAATATAATATAATATAATATAGTATAATATAATATAATATGATATAATATAATATAATATAATATGCTATAATATAATATAATATAGTATAATATAATATAATATGATATAATATAATATAATATAATATAGTATAGTATAATATAATATAATATGATATAATATAATATAATATAACATAATATAATATAATATAGTATAGTATAATATAATATCATATAATATGATATCATATAATATAATATAATATAGTATAGTATAATATAATATAATATGATATAATATAATATAATATAATATAGTATAGTATAATATAATATAATATAATATAGTATAATATATATATAATATATATATATACATGCATGGAAATTATGCTTGGTCATGTCCTGGGGAAATCATATGGGGATATTTTGAAACCCAGGTTAAAGGGGAGAATGATGAATAATCAGTCATCCAATGTGAGAAATAGTTTCGATATATGTGGAATTCGGAAATTCAACTAGTTGATGGGGGATTCACCACCAAATTTATGTGCTTGCGTCTGGAAACGTTTAGGATGTATTGGAAGTCTGGAAACAGGTAGGGGATGCCAAACATAAAGCATGGGATGAGCTATTTTTAGACATTTGGGAATGATTGATAAATGGGAAACTATATTCGCTATATATTGTCTAAGTGTATCTTATCGAGTGGGAATTCATGGGGAAATTTGTGGCTGTGTGGTGGGATTCATCCCTCGAAATGGCTTTTTAATCGGGTGGTAGACTTTGGGATATGCAGTTCACTGTGAGACAAGACTTAGGATCAAACTAGCCTCCAATAAACAAAGCGGATAACTGAAACTCCACCATGCACTCACCTGGAAAATTACACTTGGATGTGTATCCCAGTTTGGGAATAAGCGGAGTGAGTGGCTAATCACCCTCATATGCTAGAGCTAAGGGTTATTCCACCACTTGATATCAGATACCACGGCACCAAAATGGAACACAGTCTGGTGAATTCATCACCTGGAAACCTACCTGGAAGATACATTTAGAACTAAATGGGACCAACATTTCTTGAAATGTGGGAGCGCTGGATTGTACGAAAAACTCAGGTTTCTAAGCTGCTTCATCCTTTTTCCACGTTGTCTTTCTTTATAGCCAACCCCCAACCAACCACCTGAGCCCCGCACTTTCTTGATAAGTCAAGCGAAGTTGACCAGCCAAGAAGGGCAGCAAATATGCGATGTCATAGGCATCTCTTTCAGCAGCTTTCTCCTGTTGGTGATTTTGGGCGTCCAAAATCATGGAGGACCTAGGAATTGTGAAGAAAAAGGGTGCCCATTTGGACCCATAGAATGTTCAAATTGTTGGACTTACCATTTTTTGGACTACCAGTAACATAGTAAATTCTGTCGCTTCGTGTTGCTGAGGCTCCTGTGCTCCCCTGTCGAAGCGGAAGATCTCTGCAGTGGCACGCACCCTTCGCTGATCCAGGTCCCATGACCATGTGCCGCCGCCCAGCGGTTTCAAGCGATGCGCCCAGCTGCGAAAACTCCAGCTGTTGGCATCAGCACCGGCTGCGAACTGCGCCGCAGAACACAGCAGCTGCCAAGTCAGCAAATCACCTTGGATTTGGGGGCCAGGGGGCAATTCAAAAACTACAATAACCACTCTTCCCAGCAAATTCCTGAATAGTGTGGATCAATTAATGGCAGAATCAACAAAAACATCAGCAAACAGTCATACATACCCCAAGAATCATTGGATGTATCCATACTATTCCTCACCATTGCTGACCATACCCCCACAGCATACCATGGCATTTCTCAACATGCCCAGGTCCAGGTCACTGGGAGACAGAGAGCCTCTGTAATTCTGCTCCAGCTGTGCTATGAAGTCCTGTAGCTTCTCGAGCTTCGGAAGCAACTGGGACCACCAGAGCACGGCGTGCTGCAGGAGCCAATCGCTTGGCATTTCCTCACCTCACAAGGGATGGAGGGACTCTACCTGTAAGGATGTCAAGTCCAAAAATCCTCCAAGATTAGTATAGATTAGTAATATGATAATATGGTAAATCCAAAAGCATAACCCATCTCCAATTTTGCCAGAATGGTTGGTATGAATCATCCCCAACTATTAGGTATTTACCTCATTATTTACCACGTCCCTACTTGGATTCAGCACATAGCTTCGCTCTGAAAACAAGTCACAAAACCAGTGAACTAAGCTTCAACTAAGCTCAGCACTGATCAAGCTGAGCAAGCGCCGCGCTGCAGGCACATGCCAGGACTGCCGTTCCATTTGATGCAGTGATCCCAAGACCAACGCTGCTGCTTTCTTCTCGCGGCCAGTGCTCACCTTGACCTCGCGGCCAGTGACGAGAACGCGGCTCCGTGTGGATCGAAATCGGCCCTCCACAACAAACGAGGAAATTGTTCAATCCGTTGTTCATCAGAAAGTCATCCGAATGTAACAAGATTACATCAGCTCCCACCGCCAAGTTAGATCACAAAGGGGTCATTGGAAGGTAGCAATAAAACAACGAATTGTCCCATGTCTTTCTCTCAAATTCAACCCGCAAGTTTGCTTTACAATTCACACAATCTCAATTCATCATTTTGGGGATGATTCCTGCACCAACATGCACCTGCAACATTCAACAAAGTCCTTGTGCCGAGGGACAAAGTCCTTGAGCTTCTCTTGTGGCAGGTCCCCTACCAATGGCAAGGCCTTCACCACCAGTTCTGCAGCTTCCAACCTTGGTCTGACCCCCCTGGATCATGCGGGATTCACCAGTGGCATATTGGATGAGTGGAACTCATCATGACTGGTTGGTGGTATACCTACCCATCTGAAAAATGATGGAGTGAAAGTCAATTGGGATGATTATTCCATATTATTCCCAACTGAATGGAAAAATAAAATTCATGGTCCAAACCACCAACCAGATGACTAATGATGCCATCCTCTGACAGGTCACATTTGCTCGTCGGACAATTCTTCGGCGTTGATGGCATCCAGAAAGTGGCCTGATTCGAAAGACGGCTTGAAACCATTGGATTTAGGGTAGCCTATGGTAGCCTGTAGTCAGTGAAGGGACATATTTTACCAACAGGGTGGATCCCTGGGTCCTGGTCCCACGGCCGCTAAGCCATGGACTGAAGGCGCCCTCCACCCGCTGCAACAACTCGATCTCAAACCTGAAGCTGGCTGCACCTCAGATACATCAAAGGCTGCAAGTTGGACCGTTGGCAGATCGATCTCTCTCTCTCTCTATCTATCTACTCTAATCTGATCTAATCTAGTCTATCTCTCTATACATGTAATTTTGTACGAAACGGAAACAAAACACATTCTATTATCGCGTCCGGGTCAACATCTTAACCCTGAATTTCAGGGAAAACAATGAGAATCAATAAACCATTTTGGGCCGATATCATGCAATATTGTCATGTTCCAATAGATTTTCTGCTACAATCTGTGCCCTGGGAGGCAGGCGGAGGATGCCACCATCCTGGAAAGGTTGCGGATTGATGCATCAAATTTGGCGCATCTGAGTTTGATCTTGTTTTCAAAATCTTCAGCCAAACATGTTTGGGAAGCTCACGGGTTTTCATGGATTCCACACGTCAAAGAGGAGAGTCTCTGGATCTAGGCCCGGATTTTTTTTGGGGGTTGCCAAGCTAGGAGAGCCTGAACTCAACCTGAGTTCCTTGCATATCTTATATCATCTGATATTTCCACATATATAATTATCCTATATACCAGGACCATCAACATAACTTTTTTGGGTCAGCTCCTCAAAACCTGGATGAATATCATCCAGTAAGTACCAAACAAAACTGTGATTAGGAACTGGCACCTGTATATCTAATCGACGAAAATGTGGACGTTACCACACCTGTGAGACGAAGAAGGTGCGCGTCAATCCAATTCATCACCATGTTCCCACCATCTTAGCAAACCATTGTACCACCAAACCAGTGCTGTTTTACGATGATATCCTCACATTTGTATCCGCCGGAAGCATCTCCTCTTGCTCCATGGCTTCACAAACCATCTTCAACAGCAGTGGGGCAGGATTCAGCACAAACCTTGGCCGAACTTACCGATCAAACATTGGGAACTGATTTAACCAACCAAAAACGGGAAAACGGGGCTATAAAACCAACCATACTGGGGATGTAATGGGATATCATGGGAATATATAGGATTATATATAATTATATATATATATAATTGTTGGTCAAGTCATTGGGTACAAATGGACCCACTGATGTTGCGGGTGATAGTTCTGACATGGCTTGACCCACGTCGAGTCCAGGCATGAGTTCAGGCACTTCAGTCATTTTATCTCCAACATATGCAAAAAATGCCTACATGAAATCCGGTGACCATAGTGAAACATATCATTCATAAGTTTCAGAAATCTTGGTGGGACAACCTGAACCATGTTTGACATGTCATGAGGAGTATGGCCAAGATCGTTTTGGCTCCAAACCAGCAAAATGGAAAATCACGGGCTTATAAAGTAAGGCCATAACCCAGTTGACTTCAACCGTGTGCAAACTCCGTTTTTTCCATCCCAGTGTGGTTGAAATGTCAATGTTTCCGTAAACCCAATGAGCAATCTGAGACTTGGACAAGGACAACAGCTGCTCCTGGGGGCAAATGTGGATTCCCGGTGTTCCAGGGTTCCACGATAGCAACAGGGAAAGGGGTTGAAACATCATGGCCAACCTTAACAATAAAATTTTGAGCCGGGTATAGTATGTATCCAAACATATACAAACACTATACACACATACGATGTAGGTGATATCATAGTATATCCATGTATGTATATATATATAATTTCATATATATTATATATACTACTTGCATGTATATGTATATGTACGTATACGTGTATATTATATGTCTACATATACACAATACACAATACTGGTATAATCGTGTATATATCCATTTTATATAGGGACTATCACCATCTCGGGAGCGGGGGACCACCAGACTCGAGGCTCCACATGGGCTAGAGGTAGGTTCCAAGAGTGGCTCACGAGAAAAAACATCACTCTGCACTTTCTATGAAATGAATGGAAATTCCTTCAATGGGTTGACCTTAGATGGGTCATACTTTAAGTTTTAGCTGTACATTGCGAGACTTACTTGCCAGTTTACTGATCTATATAAATTTGGCTATGTTCACTCTTGAGTTTTCAAGAATAGTTGCAGTCAGTGCTACATCTGGGTTTCGCAATCGCATGGTCTATCATCATTTTCTTATCAACAGAATTTACGGGTATCCTTCATTTTTGGGCAAACCCTCTGTTTCCCACAGGTACGGTAATCCAACCAGGGATTCACCCCCCGCAGTCCTTGCTGGGCAGTGGTCGCAGTGATGCAGCTGTCAAGCCTTCTACCTATCACGGGTTTGGTGGATGAACACCATTTCTAATGGGCAAATCATCAAACTGAATGGTCCATCTATACCATGGCAATGTTAAATGGCTGAATTATTTCTACTAGAAATGGATGTAACCACCCTGAGCCCCAGAAATTGGCAATAGCAACTGGAGCTGACAACGTCAAAGGAGACTCCTTCTGACGCATTTCAACGGTTTTTGGAAAATCATCAAACAAAAGCTGAAGGAACTGTCCTCCCTATGAAATCTCGAAACTTTCAGGGTAGAGCTGTGTTGACCCTTTGCCAAATTCTGCTGAGGCGGCTGCTGCATTGAGAAAGGACACCCGCTCCCTGCCAGGATCCATCCCCAGTGGCCCAGTGGCCCGGCGATGATTTTCCAGTGATCTGAAAATCTGGCAGAAAAAACTTCAGAGATTTTCCATTCAAAACCTTCATTCATATCATACTGTGAAAGAAATCCTGCAGTTAACAGGTGGTTTATCCCATTAAAAAATAGGCTTTATCAGCCATGGAGGATTTGCTGGAAAACTACCGCCAGTGCGACGGAACCAGAGCTGCAGCCAGTTGCAAAACCTGCAGCTTTTGCATCGGTGGAAAATGGTGGAGATATTGATGTACCATTTTTTTTACGAGTGGATGTGCAACACGGCTCGCGAAATCGAAGCAGCCACTCAGCCACTCAGCCACTCTGCCAGAGAGGCTGGACCAGCCACTCAGCCACTCAGCCACTCTGGCAGAGCGGCTGACGCAGCCACTCACCCACTCAGCCACTCTGAGTGACTGAGTGGCTGAGTGGCTGAGTGGCTGGTCCAGCCACTCTGGCAGAGTGGCAGATTGGCTGGAGCAGCCACTCAGCCACTCAGTCATTCAGAGTGGCTGAGTGGCTGAGTGGCTGCTCCAGCCACTCTGCCGCAGCCACTCAGCCACTCAGCCATTCTGGCAGAGCGGCTGACGCAGCCACTCAGCCACTCAGCCACTCTGAGTGACTGAGTGGCTGAGTGGCTGGAGAGCCATTGGAGTGTAAGCAATATTACCCAGACCTAATTTTTCTTAGGTCTGAGTATCTCAAGTGAGGTCTTATGCTAATTTAGGGCTCCTTCCTTTATTCATCCAGGCACTGGGGAATATATGGAATCTTAGGCAAACAGGCAAACATCTGTGTTAAAGGGTTGTGAGAAAGAAGTCATTAGTCATTTGTGTTAAAGGGGTTCGCTCTGTGGGTCTCTGCGGATCATCATGGCGAAAGGAATGAGACATTTGGTTATAGTTCCAATGTTTTCATATATGTATGTTATTAAAGAAATTATATACACATATAGCTAGACACAAACACACCTAAGGTCATATCATCCACCTCCATCATTTCGTCATTTACCACAGTTCATTTTCACAACAGTTCATATCATTTCATCACAGTATCAACACAAAATAAAACCACATAATTTCATACATCATCATCCCACATCATTTCATCATCATCATCCATCATCACATAAATTCATATCATAAAATGTCATCATCATATTTTATCATAATATATTATTATTAAATAATATCATAAATATAAATCATCCACGTCTAACATTCCTATGTTCGTATATGACAAATTATGGGGTTAAAGTCTTTTAAAGTTTTTTGGTGTAATGGTTTTCCAGATTTGTTTCAATTTTGCAATTCTGGTTTCATCATATTTTAAGTATTCCTCCATATATGTTTGTTTTTTATCTTCTTCCTTTTTGAGTTTTTCCTTGTTGGAATGTCTGTCGGTTTTAAGATGTTTGGACAACCTGCACTGTTTCACATTCCGTTGGCAAATGTCGCAGAATACTTCCTTTTGATTATATACTTTGTTACTCTCCTTTTGTTTGTCCAAGCATTCAATACACATTCTATTCATTCCATTGAACTCGTCACCATTTTTGTTTTTCTTACACTTTGTACACTTTCTACTCTCCATACTATTATAAGGTATTATTATTATCCTTTCAATTTTAAGTGTATTTCCTTATATCATAAAATTTCATATTATCTGATATGAAAATTTATGGGGTTCAAATATAAATTCCTTGTTGTATTCTTTCATACACTTTGTCAAACTTATTCTCGTCAATAATTGTATTTCCAATAAACGGTTCATTGTCTTTGATATACAACAATATTTTCTTAAACAATCTATAAAGGTTTCATGATTAAAGTTATCATCCATACAGTCAGCATCATTAATATTCATTTCTAACATGCAGAATGCAACAGTAGAATATGAATTGTTACAACATGTTTCAATCCTTGTCCATAATCTTGATAATGTCTCATGTCTTTTTCATTTAATATTAAATTCATGTTATCATCTGGAAATTCATTCACTAAAGTATTATCAACGTATATTTGAATTTGTTCATCAATATCCTCATCGTCACAAGGGTAAATATCAATTTCAATTGAATCAAAATGACTCATTATATTTGAGCAACTTTTGCAGGCTACATATTCACAAATTTTATTACCAATACCATCGGTAAAAATATTTTTGGTAATTCATTTTATTGTTGCATATTCACTACATTTACAGCTTAAGATTTTTTGTTTGGTGTATTCTTCTTGATTGATTTCACGTTCACTACTTGTATCACTGAATGACATTTCGCTAATATATATATATAGATAATATTCCTTTAAGTAGATTTCCTATAAATGGTAATTTATATGTTCAGCAATTCATGCCTCAATAGTGGTCTATTGTATCCTTCTAATGTATAATATGTTTGATTCCAATTTTCATCAATGGACTCTACTGTATACTCACCTTTCAAAAAGTGTGAGGTTCTCTCCTTCTCCGTTGTTGCTTTCTTCCTTTTGATTTTTACTTTGTCTCCCACAGATAGTTCAGGATAGAACCTCTGTTTCTTTGCTTTCATTGCAATGTTTAATCTTGACTTGAATTCATTGTCTTTATCTCTGGCTTTATACGGTGTTTGACCAGTAGCGGAAAGCACATCTTTTTTATTGTAAGTTAACATAATTTCATCTATGTAGCCTATCCATTGTATATTCGTTTTTTATTCTTTTCATCGTTCTCAACTCTTTTGCATAATTTGTCTTTACCCTCTGGTAAATAAACATAGACCCTGAAAATCACCAATTTTTAATGGAAACTAGTCTTCCAACCCCTATCTGCCAGGGTCTATGTTAATTTACCAGAGGGTAACAGTTTTTATAAACCGCTCGGCAAAAGCAGGGTGGCCTCTTGTCCTATACAATTCAATGCCTTCGCTTTCTACATATGCTTGGAATTCACCACTTGCTATAGCTTTCTCGTCGTCGGTGTATATGATTTCAGGTTTCTTGCCCATCTTCTCTATCGCTTTCTTTGTTCCTTGAATAACACTGCCTGTCTCTTTCCTTCTTACTGGGACTACGATAGCATACTTACTCAAACAATCAATACAGACTAATCCAGCTCTGTATCTTTGTTTTACCTTTAATTTTTTGAGAAATAAAGAATATATCAACTTGGTATCTATGATTGTTATGTGGAGCAACAAAGCTGTTATAGCCTCTCGGGTTCATTTTTATCTCTACACTCTTTTTGAAAAAATATTCAACATCTTTCATAGTAATAGATTTGTTTTTCTCTCTTGCATCCTTCAAAGTAGTGTTTTTGGAACCAAACCCTGCTTTATAAAAGTATATGTTTCCTATGATTTCTTGCTTACTCATATCAATATTTTATTAAGTTTATTATATTGAAAAAAAACTAATGTGAAGAAGAATTGCAGTGGCAACAATAAGCCTCGCAGTTGTCAATAGAATGGCACAGTCCATTGTCACCTCTCTGCGCCGTTAAAGTTACTTGACAATTTGCCACCTCTGGTATCAAGATTAAATTTAACTCCACAGTTTGCACAACAACCCTTGAACATCTTCAAACATGTTCATCAATGTATTCATCAACTATTTCTCTTCCTCCTTTTCTGTCTTGTCCTTTGTAACCTTCAACCTTGTTTTTAAAATAGTTAACCACCAAATTCTTAAACATTTGTCAAATTCAAAATGGAAGAAGCTTGGAACTCAATCGTTAGGTGGGGACCCTTGGAATGGTATGGCCATCTCTGGCAGAGGCTGCTGGTCACGGCATACCAAGTCGCACCTCATGGCATCCTTTTGGTCCCGCGCGCATCTTTGTGGTCGCCCGAAACAGAGGCGCAATGAGGCATCTGAACGGATTCTTCAACAGCGTCCATCTGAATTCTCAACAAACGAAAATACTTCTTGGACTCCAATTGGACTACGAAATGGGGGTTTCCTAAAATAGGGGTGCCCCTATTTTATCATCCATTTGATCGATTTTCCATGAAATAAACCATCTATTTATGGGGTACCCCCATTTATGGAAACCCCCAAGTGAATTTGGGACATCCCAGCAGGGTGGTTCCACTGAAACGAGGCCAGCTGGCGCATGCTGGCGCCACGGCGCGACCCTCGGGTGGTTCTACGTGTGTAGTAGCTTACACCAACTGGACAAAGCTTAGTTTTGGCATATTTGATTCTGTATTACATTTACATGTATAATAACTATAACATGTGTGTATATGTAGGTACGCAGGTATGTAGGCATGTAGGTCTGTATGTTTGTGTATGCATGTATATGTTTGTATGTATTTGTATGTATTTGTATGTATTTGTATGTATTTGTATGTATGTTGTATTTGTATTTGTATGTACGGTTTTGTATGTATTTGTATGATTTGTATGTATTTGTATGTATTTGTACGGGTTTGTGTGTGTGTATTGATATGTATTTGTATGTGTGTATTTTGTTGTATTTACTAGCGGCTGGGAAATTGTAGGTGTATTTGATTGGCGATACATGTGTGTATATATATATATCAGTTTAGGCATGATTGCAACCGATTCAAACCGTCTGGCAGGATGTCTTCGTATGCATGTCCTTGTATGTATATATACACAACATGTATAAATGGATGAGGATTTCGGGGATGCGCACGTCCAATTGGGCTGGTAGTTGGTATCCACCAACCGGGCAGCCCTTGGGGCAGGGGTTTCTGGAAATGTGTCCAATGGTCCCTTCAAAACACAGCTTTGCACAGGTTCCTTGCACATGCGCTTCAGATGTATGCATGCACGTGTATTACAAATGAAATGCGTATGTTACAAATTACAAATGACATGTGTATATTGCATTAGATTACGAATATGATGGGCATGTATCTGTATATGTACATATATATATACAGTTATATACATAATTATATATATGTGTATATATGCACACTCACCACAGCAGGAGTCATAAGCTAGCTACTAACCATTTACTGTACCATAGATTTTTGTTTACCTTGCGGAACGGCCAAGGGCATAGATTTTTCATCGCGGAACGGCCGCAGCTGGGGCCGCTCGGGAGGATCCAGGAATCACAAGGTTCGCAATAGAAAATGGCCACGTTTTATAGGTACAGCAAATCATCCACAAATGGGTCATATTCCATCGCTATTTGAAATTACCAGAGGGTGAATGGATAGTCTTTCCCCTCAATTGATTGGCAGGATCCGGTA